AGCAGGAATTAACAATATTTATTCCAAGCTAGAAAGGCATTCTCTATTTTATCCACAACTTCAAAACTTTAAAACAGTTCCTTCCTTCCCAAAGGGAAATTGTTCCTTTATCAGATTAATGTTATTAGATATACTTAGTGGGGGTTTTAAAATTAAAAATAGAACGTAAAATATATTCTCATCTTCTAAAGGACAGTTTAAATTTTAAAGTTTTAAATCATTATTACATACTACTAAATACAGCGAAATAGGTGTGGTCACAATCTGGAATACCTCAAGATTCATATCTGCAAAAAGCTGAGCTCTCTGCCCCAATCCCACAGAGCTCTCCAGCCCATAGATAGGCTCAATGAATTTTAAAATGCAGTGTTCATCTCTCTTCATTCCCAAGAGTATCCCCAAATGTGGGAAACAGTTCTTTCCAGATCTGTCTCTACAGAAGTGAGTCCAGAAGCACTAGTAACAACTGAGACAGTTGTTCTATCAACTGGATGACATTTCTTGATATTCACAAGCATGTGGGGAAGAAAGGATGATTGCTGTTGGGCAAGGTCATCTCCCATTCTCTCCTTTTCAGCTTACCCATCATTTCCATGAAATAGAAGAGCACAGTGATAGAGTACCCAGGTAATCACAACTATTCTTGGCACTAATGTGCAAACCAAGTATAGCAATGTGAAAGTATCACTCTGCCAGATTTGCAGCCATAAAAATTTACATGTGAACTATGAGCTATTTTACTGGATCTGCTTTGTACGATTCAGGACCATGAGAAGGCAACTTCTCCTGAAAGTGGCTTAATACTTTTCAGGCTTGTGAGTTTAGAGGAAGATCTTAAAAAGTAACATGAGGAGCTTTAAGCTTGGATAAAAACATTTAGACAGGAAGAAACAATGTTTTTTAATTATAGTTTTCTCGCCTACAACTCATTGAAAGTGGAGCACCTGGAAGGGTACATAAACAGCTGTGCAAATCTGGCAAAGGACTCTCTGGCTTCCAAACATATTTAATTGTTTTTATTTCACTCCTTAACAGGAAATCTATTGGAAAACATCTAAGAGCTGAATAGGAAAAGCAAAGCACAGCACATTAAAACAAAAATATCAGTTGAAGGATCCAAAAAAGCCAAAAATCCTGGTGCAGAGGAAAACGCAAGAACTCTGAAGACAAAGAAAGCCTAAATCCCAATTGATATAAAATTGTAGGAGTGAAAATAGGAGAGAAAGGAAAGCGTAAGCAGAGGTTTCTGAACTGTGAAGGATAAGTCTGTTGAAACCAATGAGCCTGCCAGCACACCGGAGGAAGCCTCAGACTTCCTCTCTGAGGGAGCTCTGAACCTATGGACCTGCACTTGCACACTTTTCCTCCTAGTGAGCATCTGCAGAAGAGAGCCACGTACTTCAACCAGATTCATCAGCTGACATCTTTTATTTTAGCCAGGGTTTTATTTGTTTGTTTGTTCTTCTTGATTTAGAGAAGCGCTGAAAAATACTAGAAAAGTCATGTTACAGAAGCTGCTAGTTTAGGAATGCAGTTTTTACCATCATATGCAGACTAGAAATGCAGAAGGTTGCTGTACAGCTAAAGAGCTACCAATGTAAGACAAGTACCAGCACTTCTAGTATCCCTTTTATGCCTGCTTAAAAGCATCAAAACAAGACTACCAGTGAAAATTAACTACATTGAAAAACTTAATCTACCTTAATCATTCACATATTCTGCCAGCTGGCAAGTTCAAATATTAGAACAGTGGTTCCCTATACAGCCTGTATTCAGCACTATTGGAACTCCTTGCCACTGCATATGATGAGTACTAAAAGCTTACAGGGATTCAAAGAATGAATGAACAAATTCATGAAGGACAAATCTATTGAGCACTATCAAACAGATCAGGGTGTCCCAGAGTCACAAATGGTTCAAGACTAGGACACTTTAAGGAATTTTCATATACACTTACTTATGTTCTTCCCTGACTTCTGGTTTTGGCTACATAATACAAGGAGGTGGATGGATTTTTGGCCTGATCTAGCTCATTTGATCTTCCATCCTTCTGCTACTAACAGTGTCCTTAGCCATGAATCTTTGGAAGTCATTTTCAGGGTAGAGGGAATAACAAAAAAATGTAACAAATCATATCACTCATGACACTGATAAGATATAGGCTGATATTTTTGATCTTGAGAACTCTGATTTACTTCAAACTGCAAGAGATCAGTTCCCATAATCTCTAGGTGTTTTTCAAGTTTCCTTTTTTTTTTTTTTCTTTTTTTTTCTGTCTTTATTAGGCTTTCAACCTCAAAGTCACCAGGTTATACTCAGTATCTGATCTAGCTAAAGTCCTTATGTGTTCTAAACAGCTCACCAAACCAAACCAGGTAAGGCAGCTTTAGTATAAGTTTATTTCCTATGCCTATATCCACAGCTATACAACTCATAAGCATTTCTTTATTAGTCACATCCTTCCTTACAATCATGTCTTCACAAGGGAAAAATCAAAGGAGAATTTTTAATGCACTGGAAACTCAAGATAAATCCTAGGGTAGAAATCATAGCTAACCCCTACTAGGAAACATGTAACAAGTTATGCTACTATTTCTAAATGCATGAAGTATCATAAACACTCAGAAACCTTGGTGTTTCACCTGAGTTGAAGGAACTGAACCATTTATAACATCTACGTTTCCTTCCTTAGAGCGGATCACTTTTGAGAGCTCAGAAAAATTTACTAACATTTCTGAGCATTTTCTCAGGATTAATAAAAGCTTTTCTGCAAATGAACACTAAAAGCTTCGATTTCATTACTTAAGAGATGGTTTTCCCCTAGAGAGATAACTATCATACAATAATTATCTTCCTGGAAAGTTTTTGCAGTGTCAAGGTACTTGCACTTTTAGCAGAAGGAGAGGGTCTGGACAATGATGTTCCCTCACCATGTACATGCACCTTTATTTTGGCCATGTCTAGCTTTCCCAGAAGTTCTTTCATCAGGAGATGGAAATACATTTTTCTTTGTCACAGAAGAAACACACTGTCTCAAGTTTTGGCTCTAAGCTGCCTTCAACAGTATTCAAAACACTGCAAGATTAGATGTCATTACAGGAATTCTCCTTTATATAAAAAGTTATCTGATCAGTTCAAAAGCCAACATTTTCTTCCTCTGAAATAATTCTTAATAGTCAATATGGTCCAACATTTTTCAGTTTAGATTATCTGTGAATTTATTCCTGGTCCTGCATGAGCTTCATAACTTGAAAGCCAGATGGATGATGCAGGCAATACACTTACTTTCTTTTTGTTTCCATCCTCATCTATACATTCTCTGACAGGATCTGAAAGAAGAACAGACATCTTTTAGGTACCTCATTCCCTTATCCATCCTTTTAGTCCCAAAATACCCTGTGAGCAATGGGAAGGCTGTAATTCTACAGCACTCCTTGTATTGACATACAGCTCTGCCCAGGTGGTACTTAAAAGACCAAGCTCTGAGTGAAGGTCCAGTCTTACTTCTGAATCTTGTGATAAATTGAGAATATTTCCAGTAATTAGCAGGTAATGAGAATTTACACACCCATGCACACACACATTAAATGCAGAAAGATAAATACAGTAAGTCTGAGATAACATTTGTCAGCAACTAGCTTAAATATGAAACTAGCTGCAATAATACTCAAATTCAGTTTCCTTACATTCAGGCATTACTGTGATGGGGAGTTTTTTTATACAATCAGATGGTCACAAGGCACCCACTGGATTGCAGCTTCTGCATTTACATACTCTCATAACACACCTAAAGATATATGGAAATTAATTTCATCTTGGTACTATGGCATGACAATCTGATAAACATCTGTCTAGGAAACTAAAACACTGGCTAGCAAACTCTTTATGTAGTACTATACTATCCTAGAATATATATGCTATATGCTCTGTCTTTTCCAGGACAAGTAATGTATTTTGAAAGCATTTAGGAAATCTTTTAAACCTTTTTAATAGTATTATTTTTGGTAAACTTCCACACATACAACTCTTTCTGTACAAGAAATACAACTGTATGAGTCTGGAGGGGAAAATTATGCTTTACAGATTGTAAGAAACTTAAATAAGACAAAACAAAACCCCTTAAAAAAAAAAAATAACCCCATCCCTCAAAAAATAAGATCATTTCCCACCCCACTGCAGAGGTTTTACCATCAGCCAAACAGATATTTCTTTCAGATTTAGGATAGGTATCTATATAAGACACCTATCATTCAAGTTTTTAAGCATATGCTTTGTGCTGTTGGAAGAGCTTTCATAAAAATACAAAGTTTTCACCCCTAGTTTTGAGAGTTTATAGCACAGATTGCAATAAGAGAGGAGTTACTGGTTTCATATTCCTGCTCTTCATCCTGTATCTTGGATCAACGTAATTTAGGGCAAGATAATCGCATACTTTACAGTGTAAGGAGAGGAAATGCATCTTTAAAAGCTTATTTGAAAAGAAAAGAAAGAAAATGGCAGCTGTTTAAATCTAGAAAATGGCAGCTGTTTGATGCTCTGGAGAGATTTTAAAATGCCAGAAGTGATCCCAGTGGAGACTGATCAGATATCTCTAAGCTGGACTGTGCACACTCTGCGACTTCCTCATTCTTAGTGGTACTCGGCTCTGCAAAAAACCCTACTTATTTTAATGGAGATGGAACTAAGCCTTAGTAATGCTGCTAAAAGCCTGTGCAAGGACTAACATGATGAGATGGTGCTTTGTGGAGAACATGTAGATGCTATTGTAATAGAAATAACAACAACAATACGAGTAAGAAATACCTATATACGCACAGACCAAGGAGGCCTAAGAAGTGAAACACCATCTAGTGTCAAAGCAAGTTTCCTTAGGTGGGGGACATTATTATCTCAAAAAAAAAAAAATGTTTATTTAAAACATTTCACAATTTTCTTTCCAGTATTTGTTTTCCTGGAAAAGTTAATTTTCTTATTCTTTTTTCTTTTTTTTTTTCCCCCTTGTACTCTGGCTGAATTCTTTGTAGACATACACATTATGATGCTTAGGTCTGTGTAAACAATATTTCCATTGAAATCCTTGCAACTATCTTGTAGCATTTCTGAAGCATGCCCCCATTCATTCATGACAGTTTGAGCTTTCCTCATGTCCTTCAGTTAATGACCAGTCATGACTATTAATAAGACCACAGCTTGAAAGTTCAGGCCTAAGCAGCTTTTAAAATCTTGCTGAAAGTTGGTAGACTAGAGTAGCAGTTGGCTACAGGCTGAAAGGGCTCAGACTTTGTTTTACACCTACACAACAGCGGTAGTCTAGGTTAGCATTTGTGATGATTGTCAGTGCAATACTACCAAAGGATTATTGGGCTAACCTCTCAAAATCAAGAAAAATCATTCTGATTTGGTATTTCGGTGTTTGGGTTTTGCTCCAGGTCTGAGGCTACAGCTATATCAGACTCACCCATGCACACTTTTTTGATAAATTCACTATTTAGTGTGATCATAGTGGGTAAGTCTTCAAAATTCTGAAGCTTCATGATTCTGTTAGCAGACGATGGCCCAGTCAAAGTCCTTAGTTGCTCTTCGTCATAGCCATTCCCAACTCCAATTGTAAACAGAGATACCCCTAGGAAAAGAGAATAAAAAGTTTTATATGGGCAATGCACAGGAGAAGGAGGTCTTTGCTGTTGGGTTTTCTTCATCTGCTTTTTAAAAATAAAAGAACAGGGAAAAGTTGTTTGTTTTTTTTTTCCCAACAGTCAATTTTCATGTATTACTTGCATCATTCCCTCCACATAAGCCAAAGGCCATTAAGGGTAGGAATGGTGATGCTCTAATCACAGCGTTAACTAACATGAGCTCCATTAGTCCCAAGCATAATAAATTTATGCATGGTCAACAAAAAGCAGCTGTAGACTTAATGACAACATTTTAACTTCTTTTCAGGTTAAAAAAAATTAAACCTCAATATGTTGTTTTCTTTCTCCAGTTACATGGCAATTAGGTTACTTTCAGACCATTTAATTAAAAAATAATAGCTGAGAGTTGTTACTTAGTCCATGCCTTATTCAATAGCACCTGAAGCAACCTTCAAAGGGAGTCAATGTACCTCATCTGAACACCTGAGGAAGCTGAGGTACAGAAACTACAGCCAGAAAACTTGAAAAAAAAAAACATCATGCAGCACACGTGGATAGCAAAAAGCTTATTCCTTTATAGGTCAGTGCAGAATCCAATCAAATCCTCACTCTATTTTTTACTATTACAGAGAATCTCTCAAGATTCACTGTACTGCAACAGTATTGTATTTATATTATCAGATCACATCTGTCATCCCTGTCTATCCACAGGACCTGCTCCTAATTTGTGAAGCCTATGGAAACCTATCTTAAATTGCAGATTGGTTCTGAATTAACCAGTAATTCAAAGGCAACTTCATCAGGCACATTTTTTTCAGGCCTGTTACTTACCAGAACACCACATACAATCAGTTCTGAACCTAAACGAGCATGTCAGTGCCTTAATTTTTCATCCTTTGTTCTAGTGCATCACTGAAAAAGCAATAACTCTGCCTAAAAATAGCAACAGCCAAACGAGATTTACTGTTCATTCTGGCAGCAAGTGCAGCAGCCTCCACAGTGTCCTCGGATCTCCCCGACACGACGACGATCGCAACTTTGGATGCGCCGGGTCTCCCTCCGTGGGATTCTGACATTGCATTCTGGACTACAAAATCAATGGCTTTTCCTAAGGAGAAAGGAAGAAATAAATGAGAAATCTGATAGACGACTCACAGGAGGCTAAAAAATTCAATTTTACTTTGTTTTGCCAGGTTATACAGTACTGGAAAATACTTAAAACACGTTTAATGTCAACTTTATTGCTGCTACCTGAAAGATCTCAGCTATTGGGAACCTGCCAGTAATACCAATACATCCCAACACAGGAGGACCATCCTCAGCTCCCCCATCTCTGAAGTAACAGGATTTTTTCTACCTTTCCTTGGCCATGAGAATAACATCATGGTCCTCACTTTAGCAGATACCTTTTCCAGAAATATTACTATTGCATTACACAAAAGGGGAAAAAAAAGGTATTGTAGACGCAACGTAATTATTTCCCAATTGCAGAACAACAGTGACATCCAGTGGCTCTCTGATCTACAACTCCACACCACCCTGAATTGCACACACACGTTGTTCACCTCCCAAAGATGTAGTCCTGCCCTAATTTGGTCAACTGTTTCTATTTGTGCAGAAAGTCTATCTTGCCTCCCTAGTACCAGCAAGCTCTCTGAAATCCAGATACAGACTAACCCATAATAAAGCTTAGCAAGCCATACTAACACCAAAAGTAAAATAAAAATAAAAACTTTAAAAACAATCACACAAAGAAATTACACTTTAACAAACAGATCATGAACTGTTTTAAATGGGTAGTCCCTGCCTTTTCATTTAACATTTGTAAACACTCAGGTGCATTTTTGTTCAAAATCATCACCTCGTTTTGCCAGTAGTTGTATTTAAGCAAGTATTTGTACAAATATTTATATTTGGAATCAGAATATGCAGCTTTTTTAAAACCTCCTTTGGGCTTGGAACTCATCAGGTCATGAAGTAGAAATGATACCGTGTGACTGATGTGACACTCAGGGCAAACAGTGAATAAAGAAGCACTTCCAAGCCTAGTTCCTCTGAGTAATCTGCAATAACTGTGGAGCAGAAATATGTCTGCCTGAGGAATTCACTGAACAATTTTAAAGAACAAGCACGTTTGAAAAACTATGGAAGTCAGATCGTAGATAATTCACCCCCAGAATATCTTAGCACCTCCGAACACTTTGCACTTCATGACTCCTTTCATCATGTCACCCACCCCTTTTCACTGGTGGAAGCAAAGATTCTTTTACCAAGGTGGTGCAAGCATGGACAACTTCTAGGAAGCTCACACAGCACATTGGCTGTTAATGATGTGGCAACAGCAGTTTGATATTTTACATGGCTTTACTTAGGGTTTCAGGAAGACTTTACCTCTTGGAAAACTCTAGCCTAGAATAGGTATCTGGAAAAAGCCCAAATGTTTCCATTGCCACAGTCCTGGTTTAGAGGTGACATTCCCTTGTCAAATACTGTTGCTTTCCTTACTCTTTCCTGTTGTTTCATACTCCTTACACTCCCTGATGGGCACCCTCGTATCCCCTTCTCATTTTATCCAGCCATGTCTTCTTCCCCATTATCTCATTATCACTATGCTTTTTGGAAATTTCAGTAATGATCAGAAGGAGGAAAAAAAAAAAGATAAAAATAAACAAAAATCTCTCAACAGGATTTAAGAACCATGTGGGATGTTTCTCTTCTGTTTCTTGCTATGCAATGATTATCTTTTATTTAGTTCTTCCGACTGTAGATACATTGAATTCCTATAATCTGATTTTCATTCCCACTCTAATTGTGAATTATATTTTACATACAAAATGAAAACACTTTAGAGTTTCTGTTCAGTGAATACCTCAAAACTTTTATGTTTTGTTGCAAGTAGAAAAACTTTATTTTAAAACATCATTGTTATCTGGGTGACGGTGATTCCATTTCTCAAACTATTATTCTTCACCAGAAAAAAAATAACTAACCCCAGGTATTAACTCATGTCCTGTAAAGCTGTCTAACAATTATTACTATGAATGGTTTTGTTGTCCAGTAGTTACACTATATATCTGTAGAGGTAAATGTTAGATGCAGAATGGCATTTTAGCTATAAATAAGGGATAAAACAAAATATAGAAAATTAACATAACTATATCCCAATATTTGAGATTGCTTTAGGATGGTCGCTGTGCCAGAAAATTGTCTCATTTCCCTTTTGTCCTATAAATAATTACCAAAAAAAGTATTTCAGGTTTCAACTTTCAAATATTTTAGGTTAAACTTATGCACAGTAAGAATCACAAATGATTTTTCGTTCATTTCTGAAAAGTACTTGGGATTTCTGTGTTTGCTTTTTTTTAATGACCCTTTGACTTTCATGTGGTTGGTGTGGTCACCAGCTGTTCCAGCTCCATTTTTCTTACACCCATGAATTCTGAAAATTTTCAGAAACTTCCATAGCTATCTGTAAACTGGAAAAAACATTATTTTTATGATTTCTAATAAAGAAATCAAGTTCCATTGTAACAGTACCACGGACTATTTCAAAGCTTCAAAGTCCCCCAGAAAAAACAATTACTTGATTTAATGCATGGAAAAATTGTTTTAGTGTACTAAAACAATTCTGGATTTCTCCCCTTATTTTGAAGCCAGTTCTAGAGAAAAGAGCCAGATTTCTGAACACATGATCAAATGAACACTTATGTCCTGCTAGAGGGACTCAGAAAGCCACGATCCCAAGCTGCAAGCTGTCACTTTTCAGCATTTTGTCTCTACATATCACCAGAGAGGGAAATACCAAACTCCTCTGAGGCCATAATAAGGAATACTGACTGCAAATAAACCAATCAACTTGAACATTTTCTTACTACTAGTTTGCAACTTAACAGCAATCTGCCATTTTCATACCAATAAAGGAAATATAAAATGTTTACACTGAAATAAATATCAAGCACAAGGCTACATTAGGACTGCTAAAAGAGAGCACAGCATAATGGACATAATTAAAATAGCTTTAAAATGAGCAGGTCAGAGCCACACAGGCTTCACCATTTAGAAGACCACCTTGCATCCTGTACATCCCTTCAGTGCTTGATGTGTGCCACTGCTGCTGCTTCATACCAATAAAGGAAATATAAAATGTTTACACTGAAATAAATATCAAGCACAAGGCTACATTAGGACTGTTAAAAGAGAGCACAGCATAATGGACATAATTAAAATAGCTTTAAAATGAGCAGGTCAGAGCCACACAGGCTTCACCCTTTAGAAGACCACCTCGTGTCTTGCACATCCCTTCATTGCTGCTGCTGGCTCCACTCCAGCTTGCTCTGACATATCTACACACAATGTAAAACCATCTCTGGCTGCGTTGGTGCTGTAGGAAGCTTCTGGCAGAGGGACAGGTCCACTCCTCCAGTTGCACCAGTTGGGCATGTCCCCTGCAGTCAGCAGTGCTGCCCACCTGGCCACGCAGGCAGATGCCTTGGGCAATTCACCCTGTCTGCAAAGCAACCTTCCTAAAAACATGCATTTTCTGCCATTTTTGCCCCTTCCCTCAGCTCACAGAAGACCCATTGCACATCCCTTCCCACAGAAGGAAGGCAGTACCAACATCATCCAGCACTGAGGTGTCAAGGGGCCAGGGCTGGGTCCTTCTGCAGTATGGCACCACCCCATCAACTATTTCAGTGATGCACCCTAGAGAAAACTGAAATGCTAATAAAAAATACCCTAAATCCTGCTTCATTAAACAACAAAACCAATTTTTTTAATCTGTTTAAAGAAAATTCCACAGTGGCCAAAACATCAGCAGCTAGCACAGACAAGGGGTATCATATAAGCCCCAGTGAAGTGAATGGGAGGTTCACTAAGGGCTTTAAGGGTTACACCTTTGTAAGGATTTACTCTGTGTGTGCATGTGACACTAAAACCAGACTAGCAGCCAACATATTTCCACATACTTGACATAGGACTAATTTATGCTAAACTTGTGTAATTGTTACAAATGGTTTCTGCTTCTCACACACACTATCAAAAAGAAAATAAAATTTAAAAGGTGACAAATGGGCTTTGGAACCAGAGTGACTTCTACACTCACATGTATTTTAAGTATTAGATATACAGCCCATGAGAAATCAAGGTTAACTTCTCAAAGCCAAAAACCTTCATCGCATACAGGAGAATAACAGAGCTGAGAGCAGTGTGACACACAATGAAAAAATCTGTTCCCAAAGGCAGTGGACGTGATGGGGAAGGCATGTCTGGTCATCTGTCCCTGACCTCCTCCTCCCACTTCTCCTCCTGCCTCCTGAAATGTTACACTTATGCTGGTCCTGACAGGCATAATGGCCACAATTAATTTCACACACACCCCTCCTTCCCAAATTTGACCATCTAAACATTTCTTGGGATAACTGGACAAAAAGCTCCTAGCTTGCAGGAGCACTGAGCCCTCAGCAGCCTTTCAGCTCAGTCAGTAGGGTATGATTATTAGTCACTGGTTGTGTCCAGGGAGAAAAATAGAAATAAGTTTAAAACGAAACATTTTTAAAACATTCATTTATAGGGACTACTTTAGAAAGGGCAGGTGAGTCATTCTAAAGGCTGCCACCCCAGCACCTTTTCCTCATCTTTCAGTGCTGGTACCTCCTGACTACACTGTAGAGTACAAAACAAAAATCATGTTTGGAATATTCATTAAAGCAACAACAACAGAACATAACCCACAAGGACAGGGATAAAAATGGAGAAAGGATTACATCACTGCACAATCTTCTCCTCTCAGCTAAGACTACGCACATCTGATGTTGAACTGACAGAAAAGTCTTAGTTAGAACACTTTCCTGGTTGCCTTGAACAAGACTATACAAAAAGGGCTAAAAAGCTGAATAATTTAGTTATTTTTTTTTAATCACCTGATTCACATTCAAGCCAGACTCATATTCTGAAGTAGTAATTCAGAATGGTTCACACAGAGGTTCCTGCAAGGATTGAAAGCTGATTAAATGGACACAAGCTATAAGGACAAAGAACACTCTGTTGAGCAGGGTTGGAGATGTTTACTGGGAAACTACAGGGAATTACACTAGATTCTGTTTTATTTAATAATTTCATTAAGTATTTGGATAAAGGGGGGGAAAAGTGTAAAAAGGCATGCTAATCTGAATCACAGACATTAGATTGGGAGCAATTATGAGCATCATGGAATGAACTGAAAGAGCACAAGGTGCCCTAGAAACACTTGAAATACATCCAAGAAATAAAAAAATAAAACCAAACAAGATTCATCCCAGAATAAGCCAATGTGGAGGAAACACACAGACAGTTAATGCTTCAGTGAGTATTCCAGGAAAAGAAGAAACTGCTTAAAAACAACCTTTGCAATTATTTTATTTAATTTTGTCTGAAAAGTGAATAAAATGTAAAGCCCCTGTGAGGGTCTATGGAGTTGTGACAGATGGGGGATTTCAGTGAGGTGGAGGTTCCTGCTGGGATCTTGTGAATCAGTGCCTTAAGTGGCCTCAGTGGTTTCACTAACACTTCTGCAACACCTCCACCAAAAGAGAAAACGTGCTACAAGAGGTCTTAGTCACCAGCAATTACTGAAAGCTGCCTGAGAAAGAAGCAGAAAGGGTTCCTCAGCACTTGAAGAGGTATAGAAAAAAACAATACTGTCTGGACTGTTGATAGTCCAGAAGGGCACCTATTTAAGCAAGGACTTGTCTAATCAGAAACAACCCTCCACGACAATATCCTGAAGCTGGTCTTTATATCTTAATTTAGGGTCCTGATGACATTGAATTGTTTTTTTAACTGAAAATAGCAGATTAATTCAAAACAAATTATTTATTGCAAACTGATCTCACAGACTGAGGCTTTAAATTGTCCATTTTTAGCACATTGGTATTAACATGTGTCAGTCAATAGAATAGCTGAACTCTTCATGAACAGCACAGATCTTTCAGTCCAACAGACCATCACCTCTGAAAGGAGCAGGCTACAAGGACCCAAACCTTCACCTCTGCTTTCCTGGTTCAGCCAGCCACAAATCCTGCCCCAAGGGGTTCCAGGCTTCACCAGGATCACATGCAATCCACAAACTATATAAGAAATGAACTAAAAAAAAAAAAAAATAAGCAAGCAAACAAACAAACAAAAAAATCTGCCAGGACAGTGAATTAAAATAGATCAGGGAAGAGACTAGTAGGCACCCAAAGCTGGCTTCAGAAACGAGCTGGCACCACCAGTTCAGAAACAGTAGTGGGAGAGCAAGTGAGGAAGACCTCTGTAAATCAGGGCATGGGAGCCCCTAGATCACGGCAGCTGCTGGGAACACCACGGCCTTGGGTGGGTGATGGGGGTAAGATTTGGAAACTTCTGCATAGAGCACAACACATAGGACAGAGATCTGAATAAAGAACAGTGCTGTGGTGGGCCTTTCCTTCCTACACCACAAGGCAGGTTTAGAAAGGAAACATTTATACCTTCCTAATCATGACAGGCAAAGCTGGCTGTTGCTAGTCAAATATCTTAATAACTATATAAGATTTCAGTAAAAATATTCAGGATTTTTTTCCTAAAGGTAAAGGGAGAGGAAGCACACATTCCCTTCCCTAACAATGCTTTTAGTTCAGCTGAGCCACAGAGATCTCTGCTCTCTCCAATTTTTGGGTCAGTAGGCATGGAAAACATCAGGCCAAATGAGCTACTTTTAGGAAAGTATAAAAACACGATTTTGCTTTTTTATACAAGAGTTAAATAGTATTTACTGTAGGGGATGCTCAAAGTGCTCCCTATGACTCTCCCAAATATCCAGGCCTACAGGACAGAGGCATGTTTATGTGATTCTCAGTTCTCTTGCACAGATCACTCTTTTAGCTGAATGAAAGCTTATATAGTCAGCTCGTGCTTGCAGTTAGTTGTCTGTTGGTTTGGGTTTTTTTTTTTTTTATTTCCCCAGTTACTTTTTCTCTGAAGTTGTACACAATTTCATGATGTCTGAATGCCAGATGCAGGAAGCAAAAAACAAGTAGAAATCACAAAGCTCAACGCTGCAAACAAACACTTGGTGCCAGGGTGGTCATGGAGGCTGAGTGAAGATTCAGTGCTCTGTGCCCAAGAGGCCCTGATAAGGAACCTGGAATGCAGTGAAAGCTGCTTACACCATTTTCTCACCTCTCTCATAGCAGTCTACTCCCTGCAGATGCAACCAAGGAAGTTTTGTGCTAATTACGATGATCAATTGTTTGCCCACAGCCCCATCCCCACACTGCACATCAGTAACAAAGGAAAGGTATAAATATCATCCCTTTTGGGACCCAGTTTGTGGGACCAGAATTCAGCCCAGTGATTTTTCCCCAGGAGATTATTATTATTATTGTAATTGCAATAGCTTTTCAGAGCTCTATAGCTCGCCTGCAGCTTAATGTATCATCACTGCCAATCATAAAGAATCTGTATGTTGTGTGTAAACAAACCATGCTCTTTAGGAATCCAACTGCTTCTGTTGAATGCAGCCAGACCTACAGCAACAGGCTGTTCATGCATCTGGTATCAGACCTACAGCTCTCACTGGAACTTATTAGGAGGTAAGTTCAGCTTCCCCCAGCCCCTCTAGTATCCGAGGACTGGCTAGAAAGTAAGGGGATTTGTGTCTTAACAAATTTGTCTCTCCCTCACCCACACCTACTCCCTTCCCTTCACACAACATCAAATATCCCCAGAAATTATTTTCAACAGATAACCTGAACCAAAATTTGCTTGATGGTATCTTATTCCTTAAGTATGGGAAAGCTCTGTGGCATATGCTGCTCTTTTGTGTTCTGCTTATGCCCTCAAACATTTTGTAGTTTTTCATTATTTCCTACTAACAAAATATATCTCTTTCCTGGAGTTCCCTTATGGTAAAATGAAACAGAAAAGGGAACACTTTCTGCAGCAAGACTTTTGTGGTGATGGCAACAGAACCTACAGTTGCTCTCTGCACATACAGCTTTATTGACCAAAATAGGATGATTTGGATCTGCAAAGACAGAATGAGGATTACACAGAATCACATTTCTGCCAGAGTGAAGTGAACACAAATGAGAAGAAACAGCACTGGTCTGAGATTTTTGAGAGGTAAACCCTGATGAAGCCCTCCATAGGCTAGAAAAGATTTCCAAAGCTACCTAAGGAACTGCAACATCCAGACTGAGCCATCTCCGTTTTTTAAGCAGCCTCTGCATTTCCAGAGGTAGGAGCACAGGCAGAGTGACAGGAATGACCGTGCCTTTCCCATGGGTGCCGAGTCCCCTACACAGCCAGCCGAATTCACACACATTACAAGGTGCAGGACAGGACCACAGTGACTTATTTTCATTACTTCATTTGGGAGGAACTACTTCTACTCTGTTCCATTTTGCTTCATTATACCACATCCCTCCTCGTGGTCTCTGAGCATTTTCCAATGAGACATAAACAAATCACTAACGAGTATGTCATGTGGCTGCCTCTCCCATTTCATTTCCCAAAGGCCATGTTTTCTCTGTTTAGCCTGTAGTTCACTGTGGCTTACGATACAAATTACATGGAAGGCTTCATGAAACTTATCTATTTGTACGTAACAATTTATCCCACAATGAGCCTATAGAAGTCTCATCAGCCATCTGGTATTTTTATTTCTCCAGGCTGAGAAAGCAATCATGGCTAATCCTCCTGCGAACCATGGAAGTCAGGTTTTATTTCGCACTTTTCTGTACCAATAACTCTTTATAGTCTGAAGTAGGCCAAAGACCCTAAAAAACTGTGTACTCCTCAACTCTTCTAGGACCCTAGTGCTAGGAGGCTGCCAGAGCAAATGTGGTTCCAGTCCAGAAGAACAAAATTCTCAGAGTATCTGGTGAAAGATCAGATATGCTGCAGGAGAATCTTTTTTTTTGCTAAACCCTAAAACTGATACATGCGTGTACTGAATTTCCACAGAGTCAGTGGGAAATCTGAATTATGTTTTAGCACCTGAAAACTGAAGTGGACATGCTTTCCAGGGTGGAGTTGTCTGGCAGAGCAGATGATGTTTCACAAGTAAGTCTTCACCTACGGTGCCATCTTAGGCAATTCTGGCTCCCTGGCACCATCCCCAGCCTTGTGCCAGTCCAGGTCCTCGTGGGACCAGCACAGAGACTTGGATGAGGGAACTGAACCACCCAGAATACAACTACTGTTTTGCTTCAACCAACTCAGTTACACTGGCTAGCACAGAGTAACAAACATCTGGCAAGGGCAGCTCTTGAAGTCAGCACAAGCAGTTCTGCTGCTAAATGTCTAATCAGCTAACTGATGCTGTAAAGATAATGATCAAAGTCTTTACTTCTTAATTATGCTTTGCTTGCTTGAAAGATAATGAATGTGAATTCTGAGAGTTACTTCAAGGCTAAAAAGAAACTAGTCATCTTCTTTGCAAACTACATTAATATAAACCCTAATTCAAGTAATTTACAGATATATTTAATAGATAAAATAGAACCTTTTCCAAGAAATGCATGTACAGTGAAGATACAAGAGAACAAAAAAAGCTGATACCCTTACTGCAGAACACTACCACAATAGCACTGATAGAAACTGGTGACTGGGGACATGCTATATTTAGCATTTCTGGAGTTTTTTTCCCCCTCTTCTTTAAATATCAACATCCATATAATCACTTACCTAGCCTGGTAGGACCTTGTTCCCTTTGTTGAATTGAGAGCACCAAGTCTATAAGATTTTCTTTCTCTTGAGGCGTGTTCCATGGAATTTCTATATTGTTTTCCCTGGCATACTGGAGAACTGACACATGAATTGAAGTATTGCCTAAAGCAGAAAGCAGAAGATAAACATTTTAAGCAGTGCATAGAAATGTCTTAAAATAAATCTAAAGAATATATTATGGTTGTGTTTTACATTAAGCAAAACTAGACAGCAATTTTCCATCAGAGTGTGAAAGCTGCATTTTCAATCAAAAGATCAAAACGGAATTATTCCCAGGTGAAAAAAAAAAATACACAAGTACTGCTGGAAACAGTTGCTTTTCTATCAAGAACCAGCATGCAGTATTTTATCTCAGATCAGTTCGACCACAATAGAGAAATTCACTTTATAGGCCTGCAAATATTACTCCTTTTTTCATTTAAAAATTGTCTAAACGTTTATTATTTATTTATTTATGAGCACATTGTTTTATAATAGTTTGATACCCCATTTGTCGAAAGCTGCATTTTCAATCAAAAGATCAAAACGGAATTATTCCCAGGTGAAAAAAAAAAATACACAAGTACTGCTGGAAACAGTTGCTTTTCTATCAAGAACCAGCATGCAGTATTTTATCTCAGATCAGTTCGACCACTTTAGAGAAATTCACTTTATAGGCCTGCAAATATTACTCCTTTTTTCATTTAAAAATTGTCTAAACATTTATTTATTTATTTATGAGCACAGTGTTTTATAATAGTTTGATACTCCATTTGTCTGAAAGGCCAGGCTCCCCAGACAACTACATTCCATCCAACTTTCCCTCTGTCACACATCACTTAAGTGATATACATCAGGCTGCAGCACAGACAGGCTCTTTTCAGTGGTGCCCAGTAATAGGACAAGGAATAATGGGTATAAGCTAGAACATAGGAACTTCCACCTCAGCACGAGGAGAAACTTCTTTACTGTGAGGGTGATGGAGCACTGGTACAAGCTGCCCAGAGAGGTTGTGGAGTCTCCTTCTCTGGAGACTTGCAAAGCCCACAGAGAAGTTGGACTAGATGATCTCTAGAGGTGCCTTCCAACCCCTAACATTCTGTGACTCTATGGCACATAATGCATCTAGGCAGCATGACCTGCAAAGGGGAATGAAGAGAAATCCCAAATTCTGCTATTCTCTGACATCCTGGGTCTGCTTATACATTATCTAAGCAATATGAATAAAACTATTAACAGAGGTTTGATATAAATGGCTAATAAATATCAGATTTGCAGAATTGACTAAGGCAATATGTTGTTTCTAATGATCAGCTGTACCTCTCTTCATGGTCTTAGAACTTGTGAAAATATATATAGCCTATTATTGTTTACCAGTGCTTCACACAATATTTATGAATGAAGTTAATAACAATTGCAATCTCACGTACTCAAATGTTGTAGCTCTATATTGACCTGAATATTGTCTACACACTATACTTTGCATTTTTTCCATGGTCATCTTAAAGATTTTAAAATCAAGGCCATAGGGAGGAGCCATTTCATAGCAGCATTATTATTGCTCTGTTCCTAATGATGTAACATTTGCTACTACAGGCTGCAAAGATATGGAGAACAACTAGGCTAAAATAAATTCTGTTGGCTTATTGTTTAGTTTGTGTTTTACTTGGCTTGTTTCTCTGTATCAGGCATGTACTTAATTTTCAGAAACAGAGTGTCTTCCACATACAATCTCTAAAAAAATGTCTTATTCCTGACATATAGAAATGCTATACTTTTCTAACAAGTACAAGTGCTGGTAATCACCTCTTTTGGAAGCACAGGTATAATACAAACACATCAACACTGAGTGGGAAACATTAGCAGTTGCTCCATGGAAATGGTTTAACGTTGAACAGGAAAAGTACAATTCTAATTAAAAAATCCAAGTTTGTTGAAACAAATGCTTCTGGGGAAACACAGGATCCTGTGAGGCCCCTGCCATTGTAGACAGACTTGGTGCAAGTGCACACAATGTCCTAAGTTATGGCATGTGCCACACAGCCCCTTCCCATATGTTCAGGATATAGGGCATCCTGCCAGCACGGCTGCACTGAGAACACCTGTGCTGAATGATCTAACTAAAGGTGTACCACCCATCAGCACATACTATGCAAGCTCAAGGAGTCTAGCACTCCCCAAAAGTGCCTGTCACCCCACATGGATCAGGAAACAGACCTGAAAAAGTCAGCTCCAGCATCCTAGGTTAGCCAAAAGGGGCTGGTCAGAACCAGAAGCGTCCGTTCCGAAGACCAGAACCTCACAGTCACACCAAACCTGAATCAAAACCCCTCTGAATTATCTATTCTTACTTGAACAAGAACTGAATGTGAACTATTATTTTCAAGTCTGTTGAGGCCAATTCAGAACTGAACTAAAAGCAAACATGTATTTTTGCTTTTCTGACATGGAATAACAGGTTAAATCTCCATGCCATGACAGGGACCTCTTTGCCTGTTTGGCACATGCACACCTTCTGCCCAGTACAGTATAAAGGGAAGCCCTCGCCAGAGCTGCTGACCAAGCTGTTACTTGTCACACAACTCCCTGAACTGGATGTCAAACCTTCATTCATCTGAGCCAGAACATCTTGGTTTGGTAGGACACTGAATTGCATCTGAACCAAAATCTTTACTAGCTTGATTTCCCCAATTTGGTTTTTTTTGAGGGATAGTAATGAGTAATTTAAAAATATTTTTTTTTTAAAAAACCATACTGAGAAGCTGTTTTGTCCTGTTTAAACAAAAGAACACAAACATCTTTCTGTGTTTGAGTAAAAAGACAGATACATACTGATCTCAACACTTTCAATAAACGCCCGTACAAAGTTTTTCATTTCCTCAAAATCTGATGCTCCAATATTGGAACTTCCATCCAGAAGAAACATGACATCCATTGGTTTGTTGCACAACTCTGAGGATGGAGGAGAGGAAAAAAAGTTATTTATACATGATGTCTCGAATTAGCCTCTGCTATTCTATTATTTAAAAATATTTTTTTTTTAAAAAACCATACTGAGAAGCTGTTTTGTCCTGTTTAAACAAAAGAACACAAACATCTTTCTGTGTTTGAGTAAAAAGACAGATACATACTGATCTCAACACTTTCAATAAACGCCCGTACAAAGTTTTTCATTTCCTCAAAATCTGATGCTCCAATATTGGAACTTCCATCCAGAAGAAACATGACATCCATTGCTTTGTTGCACAACTCTGAGGATGGAGGGGGGAAAAAAAAAGTTATTTATACATGATATCTAGAATTAGCCTCTGTTATTCTATTGCTAGGAGCAGAAAGGGCACAGATACCCTCATTTTGGGAAAACAAAGCAGGATAATGATCAGTTGAAACAATAAGTGATATCCCTTTACTGAAAGCCTTGAGATTTATATTAAGTGAGAGAAATGGGTGTTTTAATTCCTGCTTTTCTACTAAAGCTATTTTATTCTCAGGGGATTGAAATAGAAACAACAGCAAACAAAAGAAAAAGCCCTTTTCAGGAAAAAGGAAGTATAATTTTGTGTTAAGGCAGGCAGATGAGAATAACTATTTCTCCTCTGACACCCTCCAACCTATCTGAAAGCTATTTTACTTTATGACAAATAGAGCCAAGGACTTCTGAGCCTACAGAAGGTTAGCTGCAGATCTGTGCTCAGTACTGCTGGGGCAGCATCCTCATCCCCCAGTGAAGATAAATGGTCCTTCCTTGGCATTTGGACAAGACAATAAATGAGATATGGAATCTTTCAAATTTCAGTGATGTGAGGGGAAAATGGAGGAGACAGGAGAGAGGCAAGAGGAAATTGCACAGAAAATACATCCAACTTTACCTGGAATTTCTGTCCAAAGTTTATGAGAGCAGCATGACTGCAGCACTAATTCAGGTGCTTCTTCAATAAGGGCATTGTAGCTATGTAAGATAATTGGGTTATTGGGATGACTGATCTTTCTGAGCTCTTGGATATTTGCATTGGGGGTTATGCCTATGGGAATAACATTTATGTTCCTGGGAGGTCGCGTGATAACATCAGTGGAAGGATTGGATGACACCATGTATACCAGGTGAGGAACATCTTGCCTGCCCCCATTCACTGTTGTAAATGTGTGCGTGGAAATATAATCCAGGGCATTCCCAGTGTTGGTAGCCTTCCCTCCTTGGTAGGGTATGCTTCTCACCTTCTCAATGATACTTTCCTTTGACTGTATTTCCCTAAAAGAATACTCCAGAGTGACAGTTTCTGAATACTGCATGACTGTAACATGAATATCTTCTTGTCCCACCCTCATTCTTGTGATCACTCTCTCAATGAACTCCTTGATGATATTGAAATTTTCCTCTCCTACATTATCAGATCCTTCCACAATAAAAGCAATGTCCAGTCTTCTGCTAGTGGGCTTTTCTGTCAAGGGTGGTGGTGCTGTGAGTCCCCAAGAGGGAAATAAGGCACTGGCTATTGTTGGAGTGGATGTAGCTTGTATCAGAGAACTTTCGTCGGGTCCAAGATCACATAGATGGTCAATGAGGAGATCCCTGTTATCCATTAGCTCTAATACGTTATTCATTAGGAAGGCTCTGTTATCTCCTGACTGCTTTTCAATGAACTTGATTTGCTCCACATTAACATATGGTCCAATCCCCACAGCTACTACTGCAATTTTTTTATTCTTCAAAGCTGTGAGGATGTTGCGGAGTTTCCCTGGAGACTTGCTTGCTATAAATAACACTGCAATTCTGGCAGCATTGGTCCTTTCTGCTTTTCCAAACACGTGAAACACAGTGTATTTAAGGACTTCAGTGGCAGATGCTACTTCATCACCTGTGTATTTTATGCCTTGGACAATTTTTCTCATCTGTGACTGTGTTTTGATATCTTTAAGACCAAGATAGATTGTGGGGCCAGCCCTATAGACTAGAATTGACACTCTTATTTTCTTTTGGGAGATGTGGAGTTTCTTCATCATGCCGGTTATGAAAGTCTTCAGCTGTTCAAAGTCTTCCTCTGACAGCTTATTGGAGCCATCCATTAAGAAGGCCAAGTCCATCATCTTGCTGCATGAATATTCACTGGGTGGTAGTTCTATGTCCTCCTCTGGAGCAGGTGTTGTCAGTGTTAGGATGTTCTCCACTGGCTCACAGGCTACACAGGTTAAGTTCTTCCCTTCACACAGACTATAAAAATCACCATATCTAAGTGTAAAAAAATCAGTGCTTATAATAACACATCACCCACATATAACAAAAGGATGCCCATCCAGAAACAGTTAAACATTTCAAAAACACAACAAATCCAAAATATGATGTAAATTATTTTCTTCTTTGCCCCATTTTCTCATCACTCCCTACAAGGTATTGTACAGCTAAATCCTACACGTTTATGCATATTGAGACCCAGGGAGCATATGGCAAACTATGATGTGTTTGTCAAAGGAATCTCTCCTCATAACAGCCTTTGGCAGAATGCATAAAATCTGTGTCTGGTAACTGTCTAGAAACCCACCGAGCTTCAGCAACATGGCTTCCTACAGGCCACTGGTGGACTGACCCAGTGATCTGGTTTGCTTCACCAGGAAAGAAAACACGAGGCAAACTGGAAGAAGTTAACACAAAGTAAAATCCTAGAGTAGAAAGGAGGCTTCTAGTTCTGAAGTGATTTAAGAGACTCTGTGAAGAGGCTGGGTTTACCTAGATTTAAATCTTAGTGAAAATAACACTACCTCTAAAAATTTTCTACCTCTACAGCACACTGTTCCTTTTCTTTTTCCTGACTTCATTTTCTCTTGCGTAGAGCTTTGGCACATTTGTCATCTATTTGCTTTATGTCACTCTTATCTTCCTTTTATTTACCATATTCTCTTTTTCAGTCCCCTTCCTCATATTAAATTATGTATTTCATCTATAGCAAGTTCTATGCCTTCCCTCACCATTTCTACTCACCTCCATCAGTACATTTTTCTCTTCATCTTTCTATCTCAGCTCTCATTTTTATTTTTCCCCCATCTCTGCCTTTTCCACTATTCATCCTTCTGTACTCCCCATGAGATTTTTTTTCACCTTTACCTTTTAGGAACTTATTTATAATTCACTTCTTTCTACCTTTAGCAAGGCTTTTAAACTTCTGCCCTTCTAATTCCAGGTTGCATGATTCTCTTTACTTCACCTAATCACAGCAAAGAATATGACTGTAGTCATGCATAGGGTGGTACAGACTCAACATATTTTTCTCATCTTACTGGACAGTCCAAAAAAACAAAATAGGAAAAGTTTATGAAAGAGCAAGGACCAAAAAAGGCTTGGTTTCATTTCCAGAGAATGCCCAGGATGTACAAACTAAATGAGCCAATACTGGAAGCAGGTATCATTCTCCAGGAAAGGGTTTCACTTTACATGCAGCACCTTAGTTTAAATTCTCTTAGTTTAAATGTTATGTTCTTTTCAAGCTGCTTTTAGTGTCTTCCTAACTGAATAATGCAAAAGTATCTGTGCATTCATGTATAGCAACAGAAGATTTATTATTTTAATCCTAATATGAACGAGCCTCATCTAGTTTCCAATTTCCTTTGGATGTTTGCTCTAAAATTCATTTTTGTGCAATATTTTCTATTGTTTGTACAGATGGTGGAGGCATCTAAATTAGGTGACAGCTATGCAAAAGGATGTTTCCCTAGTGAGGTAAGTTTTCCTAATGTTCTGAAATCTTTTGTGAGCAGTGGCCAGTGTATCAACATTTAAGATAAATTATTATTAAGGATTACAAATCTTAGGGAAGAGAGACTCATTTATAAAGACTCTTTTTTGACCTTTTGATGGAATTCAAGGCTCTTTGTGTATACTTTTAAAAAAAAAAAAGAAAGAAAAAAAAAAAAAAAGAAGAATTTAATTGATTAGCCAAGCAGTCTCATGCCCTGGGTTTATTGCACAGATGTATGCTAGCCCCGGCAAGAGGCCAGGAATTGAAAGTTCATAGCCATTCAAAGCTTCTGTGAGGTTCAGAGCATTTGGAGCAAAGGTGTTAGTCTGGGCTAATAACTGCTGCAGTTTAACCACTCAGTTTCTATTAAATATGGTCAAATTACAAGATGGAAAGCTCTCTTGTATTTTACAGTGTTATAAGCAACTAGTAAAAGTAATTATCAAGGGTCTACACATCCAGAGGATGCCAAACTTTCAGATCCTAGAGGCCATGGTGCAGTATGCCACCGGGTAGCATGCAGGATGAAAATCAGTGCCTGCCACACTGCAGCTGAAGGCCCTCATCCTGCCTGGTGCACAGCATTGTGCACCCTGCCATTCATTTTGTCATATTTGGAAAACCATGCGTGCAGGATCAAGCCACGAGATACCTTAAAATCATGGGGAAATTGGTTTTCCAATAATAGCCACAGCTAATAACCTCAGTGAGTTCTAAACCAAGTGCACATTCAAGTCTTGCACAACACGTAGTAATTTTTTTAGTGGTCACAGAAGGAATGAGTCTGATGGCTTTACTGATGTTGAATCACATATTAGGAAAAGAGAAGTGGACTATTGGAAGCCAGTAGGGCCACCTACACAGAGGAAAAGGCTTTTTTTGAAAGGAATTTATGAATTTCACTTGCTTAAATTCAACTGATATCCTATAATCCCCTCTGACACTGAAAAACTTCAGCTTCAGATTGTATCTGAAGGGACATTGACATAAAAGATGGTTTCTAAGCTTCATCTTCAGTGGTATATTTAAAGTTATGTCCAAAAACTTAATCATGCAGATGTGCTTCATCTCCCTCCCTTCATCCTTCTCAACAATCATGCTATGTCATTGTATAAACTCATCATACCAAGACTGACAGTGCTGTGGATTGTCTTCATTCAAAACTATTCTCTTTCCATGTGGGATCTTGAGTTCTCCAACTGCACACACGGGACAGTCTTCTGGACTGACACAATCCAGGGACAGTTCATCAAGTATTTTCCCTGTTTCAAAATAGCACAGTAGTATAAAGATGCCAGTTTTCATGGATTGTAAAACTAATCATTGCATTTACCCTGCAACAGAAACCATAACAAGGCTTCTGAGTTGGACTCAAACATTCTGAGTACTGTGCTCATGTTATGGCCTCTGCCAGCTTGACACAGATAGATTTGCTTCCTTCATAACCACTTTTATTTAGATATTGGAAGCACTTAACCCAGAGTATAACCCGTAGTAGCTGGTACCATACACATTTCAAAAAAAGCACTGAAGACAACAGAAGAAAATGGCATTTTCCTTTTTACACATTTTTTTTTCTCCCAGTATCCCCTACCTCACTCTCATTGAGATACCAGGGCCCAGAACAGCTCTTTTGAGTCTTAAAATATCTTCTTTCTTTGCCTCCTGTCTTCTCACTCTGCCTTTAGGAGCTACTTATTCATCTGAGTTTTCATTCTCCTTTTGGGATCTTGTTTGTTTTCACTCCTTCCCTTTCTGTCTGTCTTTCCTCTTCCCACCTGGTATTTCCCATAATTTTTCCTTTCCCCTTTTCATGAGATAGTTGTTGGGAACAGTTAAGCTGAAAGCTTAGGCTCAAATGAGGATGCTTGCTGGGCACTCTCAGCAACACCAGAGCCTTGGAGGCAGTAAACAGGTCAAGACAATGATTTTCCCACATTGTGGTAGCTTCTCTGAAGGAGAGAATTTTATGAGTGTCCAGCACAAATTCATACCCTCTTTTAACCACACTGTCAACAACCTCTGTTTCTAAACAGCCCCTAATCCTTCTATCCTCCTTTCTTGCCATCCCTTTCCTATTCTCTTTTGTTCTTGCTGGCAGTGTTTCATTTTCCTCTTCTAGGCACCAATTCTTGCCCTTCACATGCTATGCTCTTCTCATAAACTCAAACCAGCATGCCTAATCACCCACCTTCCTCCTTACACAGTAAGAAATCATGGTGAAAACACATCAGTAAGCCTATTAAGTAATTAACTGAAACATTGGTCTTTTGCAACATCCAGCTTTACCAAACTGCAAATATATCTGGACTACAAGACCTCTTTTCATGCAATAGGAACAGTTAGGGAAGAAAAAAAAAGACTCTACAGCAACACTTACAAGTATCAAGAGCACAGAAGAAAAAAGTAGATAACTGACTAAAGCAAGAGGGACCTACCTGCAGGACAGTGTACGTGGCATCCTTCCACACACTGCAGAGGGCACTCCAAAGGCTGTGGGTGCTGACAGGTCACAGGACAAGCAGGTCCACAGCTATTGTATCGCCATTCACACTGAAAATCTAATTCTTGTTTATTCAGGTCCTCACAGCTTTGTGCTGAGGAAGAATCACAGAAGAAAGAAAAAAAATCAAACCAGATCATATTCACCATGCCTCTCAGAACTATGACACCAAGCTTGTCATAAAGTGGATCACAAATACAACAACAAAAAAAAATATAAAATTCCACCTTTAAATAAAAAGATAGATTTTTACTACATCCAGAGCAGGTTGCTTCTTCACACTTATGTCTTTTTTTTCCACATAATGAAATAGTTGCTCTAGACCAGAGATACTTGGTTTTGATAAAAACAATTGCAAAACTCAAACTTTAAGCTTTAATTTAAATATATATATATATTGCAGAAAGCATTTCTTCCTCTAGATTCGTTTGTACCATAGACTGTTGTATACCCTTGATTGAGGGAATGGCTTTTTGAAGGTATGGTTCTGACCATAAATAGAAAAGAGAGGGGAAATATCACTGTGATCTGCTAGTGCCCAGACCCATTACAGTGAACTTTTCTGGACATCAGTGGGAGCAGAGATGGATGAGAACAGTGTATGTTCATTAAAAGCTCAATTCTTCCTCATCTACCATGTACTTACGGCACAGAGATGGTGATCTCCAATGCACAGGAACACCTTTTTGTGCACAGACATGGGCATAGGCTGCAATAGCATCACAGAAGCAAGCACAGTCCCCAATAGACTCGCAAGCACAAGTGTCATACATGCAAATATCTATGTAGGGCTCAGGATTCACCTACAAAAGAGAAATATGGGGTGAAGTGCACTCAGTGATTCCCTTCGTCTCCTTCTTGCAGACATATTTAACCTTCAGATGGTTTGGTTGTTCCATTTGCCAAGAGTTGAGGTGGCCCATAAATCAGTGCAGATCTTTCCGCAGATGTCAGCAAGGACTCAAACTGTACCATGTTCTAGACGTTCTGTGTGGGGTAACTTAATAAGCTTTGGGGCCCTGTCCCCATAGCCTCCCATGCAGCTGGCATGCACTCTCTCAGTGGCATTACATTTGCTCAGCTCCCCTCACCCCCGCCTCAAATCTCAACCCTTGTGCTTGACTTTATGTGCCAGTCTCTGGGGTTTAGAATAGAATTTCTCTCAAGCAAAAGTTCTTCTATAGCATACTGCTAGGTGGTGTTCTGTATTTTCCCACGAAGCAACAGCTACAGAAAGGGTCAGAGATGAGAATGCCAATTAGTCAGCATCCTCCAAGTCCTGTGTGCTGTCAGCACAGTCGTACTTTTCCTCTCAGCTGTCTCAGCATAGATCATGCAGAACTGAAGAATCTGAAATACATGACAGAATACTCACAAGTTTTCTGCATTTTTCAAAGAGCTCCCCAGACAAGATGCTGCATGACGTTTCTACCATCATCTGCTTCACTATGTTTCCATTACACAGTGGGGACACCAAGGTCTGTTCCTGGGTGGGCTTAATATTGTAAGAGACAAGCACACATTGCATTAGCCTTGCCTTCAGGACCTCAGGACTCTTCAAACTGAAGTTAAGAGACTCACTAATACCAGACATTTTTCATGATAAAGGAAACTCTTTCTTTGAGCATGACAGGTACAAATTCTGCCATGCCAAAACACAATGTAGAGCAGGTCACCTCCTACATTTTCTCCAGCTCTTACTCCTACACTGCAGTTTTAAAAGACATTTTGATGACAGGAAGACCCACTTTACCAAACATCCATCCTGAAAAACAATCATCCACAGCTCTACAGAAGGCCCACAAGACTCAGAAAGTTCTGTCCCATGCCTACTACCCAAGATGAGAAGCTGCTCCTTCTCAGTCTGACCCTGCAGTCTCACTCCTCATTATTGCAACTCCTTCTGTGCTTCAATCATGTTGTATCCAAAAAAGTGACATTCAGCAAGATAATACTCTGGCTGTTTCACACTTGCACGTAATTAGCAAACCAACCCAAAAGATTTCATGTGGTAAAAAATAAATGCTTCATTTTGTTTTCTAATAATTTAAATATTTTAAGGAAAGATCTAAAAAAAGCCTTTTCCTCTCCTCTCTGGAAATTTAGACTCATTCTGAAGATAAAGTTTTCAGACTTAAAAACATCACATGCATGAAATGCTTTATTTTACAAACACCAAAACAAGTTGTCTTCCAGTTGTTTGTTCTCACTTTTTGGTTTGAAAATACTTTTGGCCATAATTATTTGTCAACTCAAGACAAATTTATTATTGAATTTCATTCTTTCAAAACCCTGTATTTGGAAAAGATGAAGTATAATCTTCCGTGTAGCAAAACCCCATGAAATCACCTAATCTCCAGCACCAGGACATGGATAACACTTTCAGATAGCAGGTAACCTCCTCAAAATTCACAAGCAGTGACAACCAAATCTTAGAACCCCCCTGTATCTTGTTTTTTCTGTTCATGCCTCTCCAATCTGAAAATAATGACTGAATTATCTTTAAAAAAGTTTGAGAAACGTACAAAAAGAAATTAACCTGCACATTCAGCTGTTCATAAACAGTCTACAGACAATAAGATTTGAGGTATAGAAGTTTGGATAGGGAAATGCAAAATTTTTTATCTGAACTCACCCTGTCTGAAAATTAGAGCTATTTTTTTTAGATTAAGCTCTAAAATGAGATTTCCAGTCATATCTAGATTTCAAGCATCTGGTCTGGCAAACTATGAACAGCCCCTACCGTACAGATTGGCTATTTTAACATTCATCTGCAGCCAGGCAGTGCAGAAGCCTTAAATAAGTTAATTGATCTTTTATCATATTTCAAGAAATAACATAATTTGGCAAAAATATGGGGGAAGGTGTTCATTTCTATTTATTTTTATCCTTTCAAACCTCTTTGCCTGCTCTTGAGTGATACTGTAAACCACATTAATTAGTTTTCACAGTTCATTTGCAATCACCTTTTCAACATCAGCACAGTATGGATTAACTTTCCAGGAATTCCCAAAGTCAACTGGATCTACTTCAAGATGTTCATTGCTGCTGGTCAAATCATTGTTTTGGATTCCATCAAAATTTCCACACAGACCACACACTTGATCCTTGCAGGGAAAAAAAAAAAAAAAAAACACACAAAATACATAAATCTTACATCTGTAGACTGGCTTAGGTTTTTGTTAAGCAGTCCTTTTAGCCTTGTGCTTTAATGGCATGCAGCTTAAAAACTGAATTATCTCTGATCTTGCCAAAGTTCACCAAAATAGACAGTTTCTCATTGTCAATTTTACACTCCTATTCCCATTCTGCTTAGCTGAACAAAGTCCCATACTGTCTCCAAGGACTCTGGGAAGCAAGACAACAACTCTGATCAGTAGTGCCTATTGGCTTTATTTGGAGTATGTCCACACAATCCCATTTTACTTCTGGAGATGACTATCCTAGTGCCATGTTGTGGTTACAGGGGCTGGGACCAGTGTATCCTTATGTGGGTAGAACCAAAACTGTGTATTCTATACTCTCTCTGTCAGTGCTCATGGGCTGTTAAGAAAATCATGGGTAGCAGCTGCCCAGGACAGACCTCACACCCCAGGCTATAACAGATAAGGAAAGAGGTTCAAGGTCAGGGGAGATGTTAACACCTTTCCCACCCAGCAGGAGTCCTCCTCCCTGTTAATGGGCCCATCCATGCCTCGCCCCATGACTCATACAGAACTCCCCCCAGGAGCTATTTCTGTTTAATGGACCATCAAGGACCCACTGCATGACTCATAGACTGATATCAACCCATTGTGAGATGCTCCACCCAGGGGGAGGAGCCAAGTGCTCCCACCTGGATATAAACTGGGGTTCAGTACAGCACAGGGGGCCTTACCCACTGGATTTCCAGAGGACAAGAGCTACCAGATCTTTTCTACGAGACCACTGTTTCATCTGGACTGCTACCACCACCCTAACTACAGAGTATCAGGTTGTATTCTGACTCTGTTTGTGGTTTTCCTTTGTATTATTGCTTTTATTTTTTTTTTTTTCTTATTAAATTGTATTTCTGACTTGGAGTCTCTCACTGGTTTGTTTTCAAACCATTACATGCCATCACTAGAAATCTGGCTCTTTATATAGCTGTTCCTGAATGCAGTGGCTTTATTTGGAGTATGTCCACACAATCCCATTTTACTTCTGGAGATGACTATCCTAGTGCCATTACTAGAAAGCTGGCTCTTTATATAGCTGTTCTTGAATGCAGAAGAAAACACAAGGTATAGTTGTTCTGAGGCACCACAGCATTCTGTCATAGCTCATCTCCAATGACCTAGACTTTACCCCTCACAGATGAACTACCAGGAAAGTAAGCAACTCTTACGGTATTACAAAAAAAAATCCCTTCATTTTCAAGCAAGTGACTAATGCTCCATCAAAATCCTCCAGCGTGTCTGTATTAATAAGAAAAAAAAAGTGAAAAAAAAAAAGAAGCTGTTCCCCAGAGACAAGGTAAGTGCCTTCTTCAGTAAGAATAAGTAGCAAAGCAAAACACTTACTTTGAAATTGCCTTTTAAGATAACTGAGACTCCCATGGCCAGATCCCAGGTCACACTGATGTTTTTGCCCAGAAAAATGATGTAATAACGACCAGATCTCAGGACTTCTAAATCATTGTCATCTTTAGGAGGTACCTTGATGTTCACCTGAACAAGAAAAGCACATTGAGCTATCGATTGTGTCTCCAATTACAATTTCCTGTAGGTCATTTTCCCAGTGGAACATGTGCTCATAGGTTAACAGCTATTTTCAAACATGCTGTTCTCTTGAGAACAGGAATATGCTTTACAGATGCTCCAGAGCACTTGAAAACTTTAAGCAAGGTAAGGGCAAAGGACTGCCTACAGACTTGCCCCTACACTGAAAAGTTGCTGCAGATAAGTGATTGCCTTAGAAGCAAATTGGGATACAAATATGGTATTTCAATCTCATCACATTTCTATAATTTCAATGTCCCTTGTGCTCCTTGGGTGCAACATAAACTCACCAGAAATGCTGACACATAAAACAATGACTGCTAAAGAGAAGAGCTGATAAAGAGCACAGGGTTTATCCGGTTAATGGTTTAGTCAATGGTTCACTGAATAATTACATTTTATTTCAGCTTTTTAGGAAACTAACACTTCTGTGCTCCTGAGGCAGGTAGTGGGCTGGTTAGTTTTATGTATAATGTAAACTGGGAGAACCAGTGGCATATGAAGGACCAGAGCATCATTCTAAAGCCAGGAAGGACTTTCTTCCCAATCAGCTACACCAACAGGAAAAATCCTGAGAGATTCTTTTCAGTGTCTCGTCATGTTTCCATCACTTTCACTTCCCCATGTGCCTCTTTCTCTTTCCATCTGGCTGCAAATTCACTGCCTCCAGTGACTAAGAATTTAAGAGATTAAGTTAAAATGCTTTCTTTCACACCATAATCCTCTTTCAATGGGAACTCTAATAGGATTATTAACCACATTTGGAGAAAAAGGTCTGGCATGGCTTTTACTTTAAGCACCGTTAATGCATTAACTGAAAACTGCTTAAGGGTGGAAGAGGCAGATTTTCAAGCAGTACAAGCAGTGATTAAAAGCAAAGGAGAAAGAGGAGTCAATAAACCATTCCTACACTCCTTAGTTTGAGGGTAAAATATTTCCTTATCCCACCATTATTTCATGCTTAATTCAGCAAAAGCTCAGCACAGTAATTCAATACTTTTCATCTTTGGGTTATTATCAGAAACCTTTATCTTCAGTGAAGATAGTTCACATACTCCAAGGACCTCCTAAAAATGGCCTTCAATGTCTTTAGGGAAGAATATGTTAAAAGACACTTTAAGAACTGGAAGCTTTTTCACCTTCTCCTATGCCCAATGTATTAACATATAGTTTAGTCATGGTTAGTCACTCCACATCTAAATATAGTAGCCTCTGTCTTTCCAAACTCAAGCAAAAATTGGAGGAGGGCAACGCTGAGCTGAGAGGTTGCCCTAAATTACAGAATATCTATGTTTATGGAGGCTTTTTGCCCAACCATGAAGTCATAAACTTTTGACATTAAAAACTGGCAGATTATTGGTTTCAGAAAAGCAAAAGTGATTTCACAATAAGTTTTTTTTTTTTCTTTAACACGAGCCAGAATTGTAACATGCAGATAATTCAATTAGTCCCCATTTACTTAAAACTAGAAACTGCTCTCAAAACAATATCATCTTAAAACCATGCTGCTTGGAAACATTTTAATAGTGAAAAAAAATTTGATTCTCCTGCTTACTTTTAAGTATTCTTGTGGAAAAATAGTGTAGGAAGTCATCACCAGGTGATAATTTGCCTAAAAGTCTTCAGATAGGTTATTTTTCCTAAATCTCTCCTTTGTTTGCTGTTACTTTTAAGAAAAGTTGCTCTAGATGTTATTACTAAAAAACAAAAATTACTAAATTGCTCTAAAAAACAGCTAGAAATTCAGTTAAGGTCATATGGACAGTGTTGTGATAGAGATCTAGCTCTTGCAAGGACATATTCTCTCAGGAACCAAACATCTTCTGTTGCTGGAGTTGCCTTATCACCTCCTGTCTGTTCTGGCCCTTCTTTAGGTGTCCAAACAGAATCAGAACTTTTCTGAAAATCTGTCACCTAAAGAATGTTACTTTATGGAATGATCCCTGTAGTACTCTTTGCTCTCCCCCAGGCAGGGGATCCTTTAGCAGTAGAAATATTTAATGGTTGAGCAACCAACATGTCCTATGTTCATTCCTCCAGCAACCAAAAGCTTACATATAGCACATGCTCTCAAGGTTCACTGCATAGACACATTTAATGATGGTCATGTGTTATATGTTCCTGCCAAGCATCAGGGGCACGCAGCAATTTGCAGACTATGCAAAACCTGGTACAGCTTTGTCTCTTAACCCAAAACAAGGCAAATGTGGAGGGGTTTCACATTTCACTGGGAACATTTTTGCAGAACTCTGGTCCAGATGCCAGTCAGAGCACAGTACTTCTGAGAACTGAGCAATTGAAACACTATCATCCATTGTAGCTCTGTAACCTTTGAACACAGACTGTCCTGTAATAGTGCTGAAGGCAAAGGACTGGATATTGTCCTTTAGAAAGCTTGTTTCCTGACCTGGAGGGACATAAGAGATGGAAGTGATTTTTGATCAACTCTTCAGTGCTTGTTGGATGGAAAGGGGGGAAAAAGGAAAGTCCAGACATCAACCTTTTTGAGTATTCCATTACTTTTTTTCTTGTGTGCTCAGTCCTTCAGATGTCTGAATTAGGTTTGAAGATTTCCTAGTCATGGAACATTCACATTTTAGTTCTGCCCTACAGTTAATCTTGCTTGAAATACATTTAGACCTCCCATGTTTATAAAAGGCATTCCTCATATGAGCTTACATTGAACAACATTCTTATCAGAGATAAATTTACTGGCATCAATCAGAAATATCAAAATGGCATTATACTTCTGCAAGCAAAATGGGTAATTACAATCCTGCTAATCTGTTAATTTTATGGTCTAATTGTCAAGAGCCACAAAGCATGAGGTCATTCATGCCTCATCTTACTAAAGAGCCTGAAATTCTTTTCCCCCAAAAAAAAAATGAAAGAAAGAGAACAGAGTGTACTTACATTTCCATTAAATAACTCTATTTCCCCACTTTCATAAAGAATTACAATCCTTTTAGTGCACTTTTCTCCAGTGAAGCCACAGCCTTCATTTGAAATTAGTATCCGGAATGTTCCAGAGTCATCCCTGCAGAAATCCTATCAGTGGAAAACCAATGAATGAGTCATTAATGAGGAACATTTGGAAGATACAAACAGATGTATGGAGAAAAAGGAAGCCTCAAATAATACCCTGTGTAATCTGTTGCTAGTAAATTTTACATTGGCATCCTACCTGTTCCCATATTAATTAATTTTGCATTTAGCATTGATATCTGTGTGGTTCATCCCTTAAAGAATGAAATACACTCTGCCAGTGACACATGCATATTTTGAAAGGTATTCTTTGGCAAGGAGAATCCATGCTACTACAGTGTCTGTGGGTACAGTGTACATCTTAGTACACAGATATTAACTGATTTAACAGTGAAAACAAGACTCTGCAGCTTTAGTGACAAAATAAAACTATAAATCTTGAAAGGTTAAGTTAGAAAGAAGGGTTACAAAGAAAACTGCTGCAGAGTCTTAAGCAAAAAGTTTGATCCTCATGTTTTCCCACCTGTACATGAATAATAACCACAATAATGTCAACCTATTTCTTGTGAAGCAATTAGGTAGTTTAAAGTATTGATTTTCTTTTAAGTCAAATATTTCTTAAATGCATGGAGAGTGCTACATTTATTTGATGACTCCTAACTCTCAGGCCTTTTAGTTTTTTGTTTATCTGTTTCAGTATACACCTTTTAAGAAAAAGACCCTATCTATAATTCTCTGTTTGTCATCTGATGAAAACAGCTCACATTTTAATTTGAAGTAGTTTTGTAGCACTATATGCTGTTAGCTGTCCATAAGACCTTTACATAGAGCTCTCACCAGTGCCAGAGCAATCATTCTTCTGGGCTAATCCAGCTGGATCAAGGTGGGAGCATATCACAAAGACCTAGCTAGAGACACCCTGGTCACACTTTCCTGCCCAAGGAGAACTGCAAGGAGGAATGGGCCTCATGAAAAGGGTCTGTGGGGAAAATAGTAGCCCATCCAAGTCACTTTAACTGCAGAAGACTTATCACCAACCAACAGTGTATCCATCTGCTGTTAGATCACATCTTCAGATAAATCCTCCTTTTGCACACACTTTTAAATACACAATGATTTGCATCTATAGATGAGCCTTACACTTATCTCAAAGTTTCTGGCTGCTCCCCCAAACCATGAGTTGATGTTAGTGTGCCATGCCTTGATCCACCTCTCCTCTTCGCTGTAAAGAAAATGGATATTGTACTCCAAACAGGTTGGTGCATGGAGCAGCACAGTGATTTTGGCAAAGTGAAAGAGCAAAGTCTGTGCTCTGGATGCATCTCGTGCAGGTTCACTGAGCAGTCCTTGTCTCACTCAGTCAGTAAGCCATCACTACAGGATAAAGAGCTGAGTGGGGAATTAGGAAAGATTGATTTATAGCTATCTACAGCTCCTTCTTAGAGATGAAGTTCAGACAGCTTCTCTCTGTACCATGATGCTATCATATGATTTATGACTGCCAGCTAGACACAGGACAACCTAACTCATTTCTGTTGAACACAATGGAATCTTCAAAGTCTCAGGATATCTCTGAAGTCATTAATAAGCTCTTCTCTCTTCTACCATACATCTGGCTTAGTAAGTAAGAGTATATTACTGTGATTTAGCCAAACACTGGACTTCTTCCCTTGTATAAAACACCCGACACATTATCAGACATCTGTGGCATGTGCCATATTCTTACCTGAACTAATACATACTGACAGTTTCCTGGGAACTTGTATTTCAATCCATCAAACGTCAGATAATGAGCAGTACCAACAACAGTGCAGGTGCCATCACATGTATTTTTGGTGCATTCCCACTTTCGACCGTGGCACACACTGTAACAGAGAAAATGAATAAGTGACAGTTATCATTATTTCCAGTGTTTATGATAAGCAAGTGAATGCAACATGCTTTAGACAAAGCAGAAGTTTCTGCCTCCTGTAGCTCATGACCTGAAGACTCTCCAAAAGACACACAAGTGTTGATAAGTTACTATTTTGCCTTTTTCCTGGGTCTGGGTCAGGGAATAAGCAGCTGCAGACCAAACAGGAGCATTGTTTCCCTGTGTGTTCACTTCAGCTGCAGCTCCGTGAGGAACCATTTGACTTTTGTGTGCTGCTGTCTATCCTCAGGCGTGTCCCCAGCAGATCCTCTGTGTTAGGCCTCCAGAAGACACTCTTAGAGGGCTCCATGCCTTGGCTGTCAGAATACTTCTCCAGATAGACTTCCATAGCTGCTACACTACTGTGCACTAGGTGACACTCTCTCTTATTAACATAAATTAGCATATGTTCACATTGGGTGCATAAATCCAAATAGTGCATTAGCATGTTAAGTGAATAAGGAACACATTTCTTTTTTTTTCTTGGAAGCTGCATGTAGGAGCATGTGCTTTTTGAAACTCCCTATTACAAAAAGAGGCCTGGACAGAGCCTGCTAGAACATTTTGTAAGACTATTACTATTTTATTCAAATATGCTGCTCTGCTCTGTGTAACCTTTTAGAAAAACAGATTGATTACCTTCTATGGAGCATTAGAGGCTATACATGAAGTATTTTTTTCATTGCAGTACTGTCCATTTTTTTCCACCCCATTAAAAGCCAAACTAGTAATAAATTTAACATCTAACTGATGACAAAGGACACGTGCTTACTCTAGTGATCAGCTTCTGAGACCAAATAACCAGGACTGTAATTTGTTCTGCCTAGTGGCTTTTGCTCAGATTATATGCTTAGGTATAAAGCATCCTTCTCCAAAGAGGTCTCTGTTCTTAAAGTAAATTAATTCTTCATGATAGTTTATCTGACCTGGCAATTGGAGATGGTACCTCATGGTCTGACAAGAGCATACGTATGGATAGACATATTTATTTTCCTGTACATAGGTACATGGATATACACATATACACCCTCTTAGGAATATCCTAGAGGGAGGTGATTCTCCCCCTCTACTCTGCTCTGGTGAGACCCCACCTGGAGTACTGCATCCAGTTCTGGAGCCCCCATTACAAGAGGGACGTGGACCTGCTGGAGCGTGTCCAGAGAAGGGCCACGAGAATGATCCAAGGGCTGGAGCAGCTCTGCTGTGAGGACAGACTGAGAGAGTTGGGGCTGTTCAGTCTGGAGAAGAGAAGGCTCTGAGGTGACCTTATTGTGGCCTTCCAGTATCTTAGGGGGGCCTACAAGAAAGCTGGGGAGGGACTTTTTAGGATATTGAGTAACGACAGGACTAGGGGGAATGGGGCAAAGCTGGAAGTGGGCAGATTCAGGCTGGATGTGAGGAAGAAGTTCTTCACCATGAGAGTGGTGAGACCCTGGAATGGGTTGCCCAGGGGGGTGGTTGAGGCCCCATCCCTGGGGTTCTTTAAGGCCAGGCTGGATGAGGCTCTGGGCAGCCTGATCTAGTGGGAGGTGTCCCTGCTCATGGCAGAGGGGTTGGAACTGGGTGATCCTTGTGGTCCCTTCCCACCCTGACAGATTCTGATCTGTTTTAGCAGAGGACTTTAGAGCCCTAATGGCTCAATGGTTGGAGTTGATGATCTTAAAGGTCCCTTCCAACCTAAAGGATTCTATGATACTGTCCCCTGAGCTGTCCTGTGGTGATCAAACCAGAACATCCACCCTACAGGAGAATTCAAGTCTGGCAATACACAAATAGGGCTCCAAGCTAAATCTCAGCTTATGCAACAGGGGATGCGACAAGATGTGATAAGACTCCCGATCACAAAAGGAGATACACCAATGGGGCCCTGCCTGTAAAGCTTCCAAATGGTGTTGTTGAGGACACCTTCTAGACTTCCTCACAAGCACAGAATACAAGAGCAGGAAAAAAAAAACAAAACCCTGACATGCAGAGCAAAACAAGATCCTGGCTTGTTTTTTCTGGGGGAAGGGGAATTCTGAAGAGCAGTCAGGCACAAGGTTAAGGTCATGATATCATTATACCCATGTTGTTGTAGCAGCTGTACTGCACTGTCAATATTTTACAAAACCAGTGATGCCATGACAAAAGGGGCAGCATTCTTTTTTTGTTTCTTTCACTCCCTTTGGACTCTTCTTTTTTGCCTTTTGTTTTTCTTTATAGTTTTGGATTTTGGTTTGTTTGGTTTTTTTTAAAAAAAAAAGAACAAAATATAAACACCCACATGGTGACCATCTTCTGAGTAGATATTAAAAAAAAAAAAAGAACAAAATACAAACACCCACATGGTGACCATCTACTGAGTAGATATACAAAATGCAAAGAAAGCTAATTTTCTTATCTTGGTGTAACTCAGTTGGCTTCAGTGTAATTATACTGGTGAAACAGATGGAAGGAAAAATAGCAAGGCCTCTAGTCTTCATGATGACACCAAACCAGCCATATTCAACAGCAATCATTATTAAATTTATGAGAGTTTACAAGAACTTTTGTATCTCTTCATTGCTGTGATACGTAAGAATCTAAACTTTACATGCTACCCTCATAAATAAAGTTCAGGGAGGTAAATATGCTCATCTTAAAATGAGGGAAGTCTTGCCCTTTTCCAGAAGTATCTTTGAGAATCATAAGCCTTTCTACAAAAGCTGGAGGTATGAAAGAGGACCTTTTCCTTGACATCCACAGGCTTTTGATCAGTGAAATAAACTGATTTGCTTAACTAGCAAGAGACTGCGCAAACAAACAAAAAAACAAAACAACCAAGGTCAGTGAAGCATAAAATCTGATCATTCTTTTGTTTGTTATTAATTTTTGGGAGTTAAAGTAGCATCTAACACCAAATCTAATAATCTAATCCAATACTAATAATTTAATAATCTAATAAGCAATATCTCACTTCAGGTTGGAGAAACATTCATTTACTATATGAATGCAGATGGACAACATCCCTGCCCCAGGGACTTCCTAATCAAGCTCTATAAGGGCAGGGAAAGGGGAATTCTATCCCTGCTTTACAGATGTAAAAACTCAGGGAGAAAAACCTGAAGTACTTTCCCAAGATCAAATTGCTAACCAAAGAAAAACTGGGTACTGAACTAACTTCTCTAGTAATGCCTTAACTCAAGCATAAATATTGTTTAATCCTGATAACGCTTCACAGGATAACAAATATTGTGCAATACATTCTCTTCAAAGAATGAAATTTCAGTAATATTAAGCTTATTGCACCCTTTGCTATTAAATCTCCACAAACAGGTAGAGCAACACCAAGATTTTAGTACATATGTACATGAAGAGATTATAAAGTACGTGGTGCAGCAAAATTTAGATTAGCGAATTTCTGCTGTGTACTGCTTCATAAATATTATTCCAAAATTTTCACTGAGCTCTAAAATGAATTCCCAATACATAGCATAACAGAAGTTTTGCCACTGGCTTAGACTTGGAGACATTCCGTTGTTCATGAATTAGGGTCTCCCATATGTCAAGTTGGATGTAAACGCCAAATCTGACACCTCTGGCTCATATATTGCATTTGCAGGTGTTCACATCTGGCTAAGAACAAGTGAGAATGAGAACTCCTGCAACAGCAGTACAAAAAGCAAAAACAAAAGAAAAGGAAGATCTGACCTCCAAAATGCAGACTCTCCATTCTTATTAATTCTCAAAGCAATAGTAATTTCCTATATCACTTTCTAAATGACATTTGACTAGATACTTGCTGAGAACCATCATGAAACTTTTCAAAGTCACATAGTTCAAAAATGCCCTAGTGACATTTTTGAAGGGACCTTATTTCCAATTTTACTTTCATATTCAAGAAAAATGCCTAAAATGAGAGGAAGAACTTTTTATCAATGAGAAAAGAAACATGATTTCTAACATTTGCTTGACAATGATGTTGAAGGAAATTCTATGTACTAGAGGAAATATCACTTACCAGTGACATTGTCAGAAACAAAAGTGCAGTTACAAGAGTGAAGCAACATGATTATGAATACTTTAAGACTGAATATTATAAGGACTGAAAATAAGAAGACTGTGCATAGTTCTTGTGAAGAATGTTGTGAAGATTCTTGTATCTTCTAGTGAAGTTATTGTGCAGAATCTTGCACATTGGAGCTCTGCAGGAAAGAGCCACCATTCCCTCATGAAACACAGAAGAGCAAAGACCTCCAATGCAGCAAGCATACCAAGCAGCCAGAAGCCAAGAATTGTCCAGGAGGCAAATACCCTGTACTTTATCCAAGGCTGTGCTGAGGGTTCCCCTCCATGCAAATCTCATAGCCCAGCACTTTCTTTTGAACCCCCAAATTTCTTTTCAAGAACCAAACAGGATAAATAGGGATGTGTATGAAAGACATGGAGCACTTACTCTTTTTTACTAAAAATATATCACCAGCTCCCTCTTTTTTTCTTCCCCTCCCTGCCCCTTTTTTTTTTTTAATATATCAACGGACTGAGCATTCATTTGATAAACAAGAGGTCAGCTCTATTTCTGCCTGATTCTTTAATATTTTCCTGAAGAGCTCCTGTCATATTACAGCTGGCATATCACATCACTTCTGCTGAAGGGCATAAGGGCATCCCTTTCTGCTTCTGGCTGAAAAGGACTGATTTGAAGGGCTCCAGACTGCAAAAAAAAAAGGGGGAGCACGACAGTGGAGCTTAGAGATAAAGTGCAGGCTCCATTCCTCCCACCCTAAAGGAACTACCATATTGTTCTCTTGTGTTGCAAGATCAAGGAGGAAATCCACTAGCCAGTGGCTACAGAGGAGCTGCACAGACACACAGACTACCTGTTTGTAAGGTAGCAGGTACAGTTTGCCAGCTGCTGCTCTGGTCTTTAAGCAGCATGTGAAGGGAATATGCTCATCTGTGTGACACGTGCATTATTACTGCACTGCAAAACGTGACCATATAGAAAAACAGATCTGTTAAGCAACCAATATTTGGTTTTATTAAAAACACGTTAGATGCCCTAAAGGAAAAGCAGTTCCAGTGGCTCACCAGGTGTTGCAGTCGTTGGTCACTGTCTCTCCCTTGGCATATTCTCTTCCATTGTGAAAACACGGGCATCTCTCAAGAGCAACACACTTGTTTTCATGTCGTACCTAAAGAAAACACACAGTCTGTCAGCAAGCAGGTCTGTTGGTATGTGCCAGTGTGTGGAGGACTAAGCACAAGAATGCGTGGATAAAGATTAAAGGAAAGGATAGAGGAAATGTTTGAAGACTGTCTAAGGTAAGAAAGGGACAGAATTGCTAATATTTTTTCCTGTTAACATAAATAGAGCTATGAGTACATAAATCACAGTCTTGCTTCAGGGGCTGAACAGCAGTTTAAACTGCTGGGATAATAGATTATAGAAGAATGTCATGATGAGAAAGTCCAACGTGATGAAAACCACAAGGCGGTGAAGATAAAATAGACAACCCTGAATGACAAGAGTTATACAGCACATGCTTCTCACACACAGCAAACTGAAAGAGAGCTTACCAGAAGATCAGCCAGGTGCAGGCCTCAGCTGGGCTAAAAACTGAAATACGAAGACTAAAAAGTGTTCAAGGAGCCACAGTGCCAGAAGAACCCCAGTGCAAATGCAGATTCTGTTGTCTCAGATAACAGCCCCTCTACAAAGCCCACCACCCTGTTGACTTGCCTCTGAAAAACTGCAGTACTCACTCATTTTCTTTCAAATTCCTACTTATTTCCTAGAAGGTAGAATAAATATCAGTCCACCTGAGATATTATTCTACTCTCACAGATTCTGGGAAATAGGTCAATATGTTCCATCTACAATTTTTTCTTTGCAGTTTTACCCTAGCAACAGTAGTTTCTCTTTGTATAACAACAAACCATTTGTGCCATTTAAACAACAATTTTAAAAAATAATTAAAAAAAAAATAATGCCTTTAGCTTAGGCCTTTTTTTCCATTCTTTCTCTCTGTGTTTTCTGTGATTACTCCCTTTCTGTTCTGAAGAGAGCCAGTTTTAGAGAATCAAACAAAAGCAAGGCTGCTATGCTGGTTTTCCTCTCATCATAGCTCTCCAAAGCCAGGGGTAAGTTTGGAATACCCAAACAATGGGCACTTCTCCTCCTTCTCATTCAAAAGTCACAGAATACCACTTTCCCACCTTAAACTCTTTCTATAAAATCATTAAAACAGTTTCTTTTTTACCATTAAATACAGGCCAATGAGATCAATGTAGTCTGAACGCCAGGTTAATAAAGAAGAACAGCTCTGCCTTTTCCTATGGGGACCTAGAACTGCCACAGGGAACTAATAAAAAGGATTTCATAGCCCAGAGACCCTTCATTCATATGCAGCTCCACACGCTCTGTGGCTTATAGAGAGCTATAGGATGCCAAATAAACTCACACCAGTAGAAGCAGGATGGAAACAAAGAAATACTTTTCTAGATCATAGAGCTGGGGCTAAGCCTCTGACAATCTCCACAAAAGAATGGGAGAAAACAGGCCAGAGATGACCATATGTTTCTGAGGGTGTTTAATTCCTTCCTTCCTTTCTTCCTGGTGGCATTCAGGAGTTTAAAAAAAAAAAAAAAAAGGCAATATATGACTTCACATTCATGGCAACATTTCTGAAACTTCCCAGTGTTCAGCCACACAGTTCACAGTAGACTTGAGGGCTACCCTTGGGATTCAAAACTTAGGAATGGACATGTGGTTGGAGAAAAGATTAGGACCTGTTTTACTTGCTCCCTCACACACTGACATGAGGCTAGTCACAGCCTATCCCCAACTCTAAAATCTCACTGAACTGGTATTAGGACTTGTCTATCTCTGCAGAGTAGGTGGGTGAGACTTGGAAAGCTGGACGTAAATGCCCAAAGTGGACTTCACCCAGAAGACTGGTTATTTTTGCTGCTAAACTCAACAGATTATGGTTTTGTTAACAGTAACCCACAATCTACTGGTCACACTGACAGCACATCCAAAAGCTGGTATATCTGGCAGCCTGGTGGCATTACAAGTCTGTCAAGCATAGTACCATGTGGCACTGGAAAGCTAGGGGAATTATTCACAAACAGCTGCATGTTCTGGGGAAATCTCTCAATCCATTGATAGCATTTAATACGGAGGATCTAACAGTGGTGAGTGCTTGAGGTGATGGGAGGCATGAGTGTTGGGAAGGCAACCACAAGAAAAGCCACAGGTTTGTAAGGAGAACAGCTGCTGTTCATCTCACACCTCTATAATAATGCTCTTGAATCCATCCATGGGATTGTAAGGGGTTGGTGATACATACATGCACACTTTGGGATCTGAAAGAAATGTCCATTGTTTCCTTGCTCTGTCTTATTAGTTGTTAAGCCTCAACAACTCTTGCAAAAGGAAGGAAAATATTACAGATTTCAGAACCTTTGAGATTCTTCTCCCCTAAACTCTGCCTTGATGAGGCTGAATCTCTCTTGGTCGAGACATTTTTGATAAGTACCTCACTGTCAAGGGAAGCTCAGATTTTCACTCTGTTCCTCCTGACACACCTCAGGGCTTCAGCAGAAAGTCAGCCAAAGGTATGGAGGAGTATGGGATTAAGCAAAGGAAGTGGGTCAGATTGGAACCCAAAAGCTGATACATTTTGACTGAAACAGACAGTCACCATTTCTGTGCAAAGACAAGTCCAAATCATGTTAGGACAGACCACTCAAGATGTGCTGGTTTACATTTGACTTGAAGAAAGTCAGCCAAAGGTATGGGGGAGTATGGGATTAAGCAAAGGAAGTGGGTCAGATTGGAACCCAAAAGCTGATACATTTTGACTGAAACAGACAGTCACCATTTCTGTGCAGACTAAGACAAGTCCAAATCACGTGAGGACAGACCACTCAAGATGTGCTGGTTTACATTTGACTTCTCTTTCTTGTGTTAGCTGGATACTTCTTATGTTTGCTTTATATCTGCTTGGGCAGAGGCACACACCAGAAAGTTGGTACCCAGCTCCTTGTGAAAACTCTGTCTTGTAATTATACAGGATAAGGCTACACTGAAGAATAGAAAACAGAGCTAGCAGGAAAATCAAAATTTCATTCTACCAAGATTCTGTTGAAAACAGTTTGTTATAAAAAACCCTTGCAAACTTTTCTGATTAAAATGTTTAGGGTTTTTGGCTTTTCTTTTTCTTCTCAGCTACAATAGTTTTAGAAATAGTTTTATTTCAGCAGCTGTAATACAATAAAATGTTTCATTTTTATTTTAAACCTTAATTTTGCTTCAGTTGCTGGAAATTGAAAGAAATTAGTTTTCTAGTTTTGAAGTGCCTTGATTTTGTGCTTTCTGATTGTTCTGCTCCATTTTTTCCCCAGGAAGGTGGTTAACACTCCATTTGTATATTTATTAATATTTTCCAATGGGAGAAATCTGAAGTGCTGTAAACTAATCTCAGAAAGCATATTTTTCCCCACACTTCTGCACATATGTTATGATTTATCTTTTCTGCTCTGCAAAAGGGTGACAAGTATGGAGAATTTCTCCTCCTCCAGATGATCAAAGACAGAAAAAGAAGAATTACTTTTCATGACATATTGAACGTTTTTGTTTTCAAGAAATCAAAACAATGTAAAATATTAAGTCAAGGTGAACTGGAAAACCTATTTTTCAGTTAAAAGAAATTACATTTCATCTGCATTTTCTGACTGGGAAAATAATTGATTGATTTGCAAAGTCTCACCCCAGCAAATTTTCCAGTTCAAATCTAGGTAATGCAGCATCACGTTTATGAAGCATCTTTGATTTTTTTATTATTATTATTATTATTTTTTATATATGTAATTAAAAATTGGCAGGCAATTTGTGCATACAAATTTTTAACACTATGGATCCCTCTCTTTAAGACTGATAACTCAGCTAACTCATCTGTTAAATATCTCTTGATATATGTAGGGACAACATTACACTTAATTACATATTAACTGCTATATATACTTTCAAATGGCATTGGAGAGTTATGTAAACCAAATCTCTTTGACTATGTTTCCTGATGATATGAACCATCTTAGAGAAGCAAGAAGATGCCTTCCCTCAGTGTGCCCACAGTCTTTAAGGTAGAGAGCAACAGGATGCAAAGGAGAACCTGGTCACCACAGCAAATTTTTCCATCTTTAGCAATTGATACTGGAAACACATTACAGAATGCAGAAAAGGAAAAAGCACCCCCCAAACCATCTCAGGTAGGTACCTATTGGGGATGAGGAGGAACCTGCTCTTTGATAACAAGCTGACAGGTCCTGTGGAGCCACGTGCATAGCAAAGGGCACCTAACAAAAGCAATAAGCTTGATCCTGCCTTTGCATGGCCACAGTTACAACCAAATCATCTATATATTGGCCTCTCTCATCACAGCTTTGAGAAACACTATTCTCCCAGGTTTTATTCCCTGCCAGATGGGAAGCCAACGAGAATGAGCAATTATAGACTGAGTTTACAGGAAAATTGAACCATACTGTCATCTAGTGGACAAAGAACTTATTTTATTAGGTTTGGGGTGTTTTTTTGGGTGGGTTTTATTTAATACTGAGCCTGATTCTTCTATTCAAAACCTGACAAAGCATCTTGTTGAACTCAGTGGCATGTTTCACATCATTGCAGAGTCAGCTGGAGTTTCCATTTCCAAAATACCAAAGATTGCTCCTCCTGGCAAGAATTTTATTAAACAATTGTTTGAATGATTGTTCCAGCCTCCTGAAAAGAAAGGTGAAATTCTACACTAACTAACTGTGAAGGTTAATTACTAGGAAGTTCATTTGGGGGAGCTTGGGGGGTGACAGTGGAGGGGCCCCTCTCTTTTTCTTTTTTCTCTTGAGTTGTTATCTTAATTTGTTTTCATTTGGTTTTGAGTGTGGTATTACTACACCCTGGAACTGAACCCAAACATCAAGGCCCTTCACCAAATTAAAATGATCTGATTGTTATGTAAAGAGAAAGATCTGTTCCTACTGCAGCCCCTGGAACTTTACAAGTACACAAACTTTTGCAAGCTTATTTATCACACTATTACTTAGGAATATTAATCTCTAAAAGGAAAGACATTTAAAAACTGAAATGTGGAAAGAAAATTTGAAGAATCTAAAATGTGCAAAGAAAAACTTGCTTTAAAATTGTAGTGAAAATGTGCTCAACGTTGATGTGACTGTCTTCAGATCCTGTTCTGTGTGTTTCACTTTGCACCTACAAACTTCACAAGCTTGAGATTTTGTCTACAGCTGGCATTTTAGTCTGCAGGGTCACCTATTTACATAAATGTGTGTTTATCAGCAAAATATGGTAGAAAAGGTTTTTTTTAAATACATTATTAATGTTAGAAATTACTGTGTTTTGAGAATTTTTTTGCTTGTTTGTTTGTTTCTAGTAAGACAATGGAAGGAATTTTTTAGGGAGAAAACACCTGTGTTCATATATGTGTGGAAAAACCAACACAATTTTATAAAAATACATGGCTCCAGGGAAAGTTAATTGCTTTTTTAAAAATTGAATTTAAACTGATGTATGCAGTCAATTCATTAAAGCTGAATCCTAAAAATAAACAGGCATCTCAGCACTAGAAGTAATCACCCACACCTTCATTTGCTAATGTCCAGTGCATATTAATCTGAGCCCACACCTTGACCAGCCATAAAAGATTTTAAAAACCAAAAAAGCAATCTTCTACATTTCTAGACTCCCTGAGTTGCAGCACTTCAAAACATCTTGCTTTACCATACACCCCTCTGAGTCAGAGAACTGCACCAGCACGTCTCCAAATACCACAGATATCAAATGAAGACTTAAAATTGTATTTTTTTGTATTTTATCCCTCAAACTAAATACACACACAACCTCCACTCTCTTTTTGCAGCATCTGCTGGGTATTTTCATCTGCATTTCATGCATTAAACAACACAAACTTCTTAACCCCAGCAGTTTTCCTGGACAGAGAACTTAGCTTCATAAAGAATATAAAATGTGCTCCACCTTTACCCTAGTCACACGAACCCCCAGCCCCTAGTGAGATCCTGGGCATGACTTTTCACTGCCCAGAAAATGCTGCACAGCACTGAACACTGACACTTTTTTCTGTTGCTCAGAGAACAAGAGGAGCAATTGCTCTCTATTCTACTCCATCTGCTTTTTATCAGGGCTCCAAATTGACATTGAGCTCATCGTCATTGGCTTAGCAAATATCTACTTGCTATTTGCTCTATTTAAAAATTATTAAACTAATATTTAAATTTGAGTGTTGCAGGGGAACATAACCCTGGACTCCAAAGAGCATATCACCACTGAAAAAAAAACGTGCTCAGCACACCATCTGCAACTCCAAGACACTCTTTGGCATCGTCTTAGCAAGTTGGACATCCCATGTTCCTTCCCATGGGGAACTCTCACTTTGGTACAACACACAGGAAGGCAGAAGCAGAGACAGAGACTTGACAAGGAGGCAACCAGTATCAGCAGGAGGGTTTGGCCGGATGTGGGGTAGGTATCTGGGCTACGAGTGCCTGTGTGCTTCTATCCCTCTGACTAGGGAAGTTCAGCAAGACTGAGGAGGAGTTTTAGAGGAGTTAAAGGAAGACATAAATTTATCTTTAAAAATAGGGTGTTTGGCTTTTGGATTATAAATTATTACAAGCTAAATTTCAACTTCTATGCACATACACTAATATATACATTTTAAACTACAGTCAATTCTTCACAATCACATATTTGAAAGACACAAGAAGACTGCTGATCAGGGGAAAAGAATGAAGGCAAGAAAGCAAAGAGGAGCCTGCTTACCATTCCTTTTGGACAGAGGCATCCAGATATGCAGCCATGGCTGATGCACTCCAGGTCGTAATTCTGGCAAGTCTTGGCACACTCCAACCCTTCAGCTCTTGGGTTGTTTGCAGGACAGATAAATCTTTCCATGGGGGGTCTGCACGTCAAGCTCCTTTTTACTTTAAATAAAAAATGTACAAAAATTGCAATTTGAACACAAAGATGGTTAGGAGAGCATTTTTCTACAGGATAAAACAACAGTTTGTTTTAGAAAACCAATTTAGGATATAGAATGGAGCAATGCCACTAACCCACTGTGCATGACATCATAAGGTAACAGTCCCCACCACCCAAGAAGTGACCTCAGTTGTGCTATCATAAAACCCTGTATTCCATTATGAAAGCAAAAGGATCTGCACAAGGATTCAATTACAGATGTCACTACAGCTACAAGCACCCTTCATTGTGAAACCTATTTCAGCCTGTAGGCAGTGTACACTAGCAATGCCAGCACAAAATGAATGTTCTGAGGAGCAACAGCACCATATATATTATTATGCTTAGACTCACTTCCATCACAGAGTGTAACTACATGGGCGACTGTTAATAACAATATCCTTAAACAAAAAGATTTCAAACTCTTTGAGGACTCAGATTCTGATGGAAGGGCAGGACTTCCCAAGAAACTCCAGGTTATTATTTCAAGTGATGCTAGAAATATGCCTCTCTGAGGATTTGTAAGTCTTAATGCAGTAGCAGCAGGATAATAATGTCTTAATAACATTGCAGCAACAGTTTGCTGAGATATCAAGCTGGAAGGTTTCACCCAAAGAATAGTGAGGGCAAACCAGTGACAACATTACCAGTGGTCTATCAAGAACCCTTCTCCCATCACAATCTCATAAACCCCATCCATATATACGTGGGGAACCTCAAAAAAAATCCCAGATGACTAAAGAGCAACTGCAGTGACTAACTATCATTCTGCATGGGACATGAGCCCTGCACTCTCCCATGTGTGAAAAACCTCTGGTACTTCTTCCCTAGTTTAAATTACCAAGAGACTGAAGAGTGTGGGGGGAAGGGATGGAAGAAAAAAAAAAAAATCTGAAAAAAAAAGAAGGCATACTAACTTCTGGCAGATGGCCTCTCATCAGCGAAAACATCTGGCAGGAAGGCACCAGGAGCTCTGTTTGTACTGCAGTGCATGAAACCATTTTCACAATAGCTAAGAAAAACAAATAGAGCTTATATTTAACATAGTGACATTTAGCTTTCACTCACACGGGTGTTTTCAGGCAGGCCCACAGGAGTCAGAGTACCAAAATTACACCTCCCATTGGGGCTGATCTATTGCTCTCCATCCACTGTGCCTATCAACTTTAAAGGCAAACCTTCCTTAAGATAGCTGCAGTGATATAGCAGCATGCTATGCACTGTCCCACTGAACCCTCTGCACAGGCAGAGAGCTGCACAAGATAACAGTCAGGACTGCTGTGGAGAGAGGTAAGGGACCACTTAGACCTGCAACTGATGATTTCTTCAGTAAACCAGAAAAGAAGAAGACACTGTTCCTGAAACTGGGCTTGCCAGGAGCTGCCCAGCAGTTACATTCCTACTCTCAAGTGTACAGCTACTCAATTGAACAATTAGAAATGTTTTTTTTTAATATTTGTATCTTTGAAAGAGGTAATTGGGTTTTAACATTTAAGAAATGTATCTCAGTACATTAAAGTGACATTTTAAAAGCCCACAAATTAGCTATTGTCAGTAATTAAACTCCATTTCAAACTGGCAGGAACTGTTCATAGAGTAGAGCTTAGTAATCTTTTCCAAGGTGGCCTTTGAAATGATATGGATAAAGATGCAACAGCAAAACTCTCAATTTTTTTTTAATTTTTTTTTTTTTTGAGGCAAAATCTTGCCCTCTTTTAGATTATTTTCAGTGGAGGCAAAGGAACTGAGGAACTGAAACAGTTAACCATTCAGCCTATCCAAAACTTTGGGATGAGTCACTTACCACATGGTGTAATGATCCGAAAAGATGTCCTCTGGCTGGAAGATCTCACCATCATAGTAACAAGAGCAGTGGGATTTTGGCACGCACTGCTCACGCTCGTCCAGGTAGTGCCCGGGGGGACAGTAGCATCCTTCCACACAGAGCTCATCACAGTCCTCATCCGGGTAGGACAGAGACCTACAGGTCTGGTTGCAGGGTGTCCCACACTGCTGGTACACTTGGCCTTCAGGACAGGTCATTGCTGTTGAATGACATGCACATCAGGGAGGGTGGCGTTTGATCCAAAGCCAGCTAGTGGGAAAGCTGCCTAAACCAGGCTGGGAAGCTGGGGATTAAAATGTATTTACTCAATTTACTCATTGAGGGAGGCCTGTATTACAATGACTCTCCTGAGCTCTACAGCTACAGTGAAACCAAGCAGAAGCTTACTACATGCAGTTCCAAACAGCCAGGATTGAATTGCAGCCCCTGCAGTGGAAATCCATCCATGAAATTTCATCCAGAATGAAAAACATGGGCTCTGTCCAATCTCTGTTACTGCTTGGATCTGCAAATTAGTATCACTGCAAGTGTCACGGACACATTCACACTTCTCTTCCTTTGCAACATGGTTAGGGAAGTCTTGGTCCCTGCAAGTAAAAATGTAGGTTTCTGCCTTGGTAAGGACGTGCAGCAATAGTTTAAAGCCTCACATCCCAGAAGCTCTCAGTGATTTTGGTGGAAACAGGTACAAATACTGAAGTCATTTAGAGATCATGGAGTCAAACCTTGGGTACTAATGATTTTTGATGATTATTACTTTTTTTATGAAGAGCTAACAATGGCCTGTGGGGCTGTTTTGGCCTGTTTATAAAACTTCTACTTGGCCCTGAAGTGCTGTTTTTGTGGCAGTCTCCTCTGCATACACCAGCATCAGCACTAGGTGGCAGCTATGACAAAACATTTCAAAGGATGAGGGAGGAGAAAAGAAATTGGGATTATGAAGGCCTTTTCACAGGCTTCCTGATAAGTACGATTTACACAATTTGTCGTTTCAGCACCCTTCCAAAGCAAGTGTCCAGAGTTGTAAGGTGATGAAGTCAGATGTTCAGTGGAGTGAGGGAAGCAGCTGCAAATAAAAGTTGGCACGTTTATATGGTGCTAAAACCAAGATGGAGAGGTCAGAAGGAAAGCTCTTCCTCTTATCATCACTGCAGAGTGCTTTGATAATCCCTGCCTTCTCTTCTGTAAACACACAACCCTGGGAACTGTGGCAGCAATAGCAATAAAAGAAAAACTATAGCAAGGCTACAGCCCTGCAGCCTCACTCAGCTGCTAGCACTGAGGCTGACAAAACAAGGTCTACCTGCCAACTGATGTCTAATGTTTACCTTCACAAAATTCTTCAGAAATGAATAATTACTTCTTCTTACTGAAGAGAGGCATGCTTGCACCAACATCTCCCCAGCTTCTGTTGGAGAACCTGAAGTCCCACACACGAGGGGATAAGCACCTAACCTGAGGATCCAGATCAGATCCTGAGGCAACTAAGGAGACTTGAAGCCTTCTTCAGAGCAAAGATCTCCCAAGTTTGGGACTTGTGCCCAAACTATTTAACATACTTTTCACAACACAGCCCAAGAAATCTAGGTGTGCTTTCAACACAGTAGGCAGAGTAAATACCTCCTAACTCAGAAATAAACAGACTATAAATCCACTCACAATTATAGGAGTCTTTGGCAACTATTCACAGAACAGTGCTTCTAATTTGCATAAACATGATCTTTGCAGTAAATCAAACACTGAACAGACACAGCCCAGGGCTGAGGATCATTTTAGATGTAACTTTCACCACTCAAGGCTTGTGCAAGCAGGACAACCATGAAAGCTCAGTCAAAACTACGATTTGCCACACGCAAACCTCTGGAAACAAGGAACCGGTCTGGCAGATTCCAGGCAGGTACACCAGTTTACTAGAGTTTCAAGGTTCCAAAAGGATAGGATTACTGAGCCCAAAATCCTGCCCTACTTTATAATCAGTGGTAACACTCCCTGCCCACAGGGACAACTTTGCAGTGGATCCTTTTCTTAGCTAAAGCTTTGCATTTCATCCTATCTGCCCATGCAGTTCCTAAGATTTTAGAAACATCCCATTTTTCTAGCAATGCTACCCAATGCCATATTGACATTCCAAGCCCTAATACACTGCTCCATCACTTCCCAGAAACATCTCATCTATAAAACCAAAAAAAATAAGAAAACTGACCTGAGAGGGGTCAGTTGTCTGTACATTTTGTAATACATTACCACTAAATAAAAAAAAAAAAAAATAGTTATTGCCAAGAAAATAAGAGAAAAAGGTGAGGTGCATTTAGTCTTTACAGGTGCCAGATGTAAAAGTGAACCAGCTCAACGGTGTGCTCTGAAGCTCAGCCTGCCCCAGGGGTAAAATGGGAAATAGTGGGAAACATTGGGAAACTGTGTATCCGTCAGACAGCTCATCCAGCTTCTTGTGGCTGTGTTTTCAAGCCAGAGTGAAAAATCCTGACCAGTTTCTCGGGTAGGGCAAGGTGAAAACACCATCATACCTAGGTCAGAGGCTCTAGTTGAAGGTACACCCTGTCAGGAGCAGATTCAACACAGCTGCTCCATCTGGTATGCTGAGCCCCTCCATCCATATAGCCATCCTCAAATGCTGCCCAGAGCCTGCCCTTAATTTCCTTCTCTCCACTCCAGCAGTCTTGGATTTATCCCATACAAATCCTCTCATAGAAGCCATGTAAAGACAAAAAACTACCCCAGCCCCACCACATTAAGGAAAATAGCTGGTTTATTAACAGGTCCTAAAAACTGAAGAGAGATCCAAGGACCTGCTGACTGATGCCCCTTTGCCACAAACCAATATGTACGTATATATACACACGCACAACATCAATTCATTTAGGTTAGAAAAGACTTTTAAGATCAAGTCCAACCATTAAAATAAAACTACTAAGACCATCACTAAACCACATCCCTAAGTGCCACATCTACATGGTTTAAATACCTCCAGGGATGGTGACTCCACCACTTCCCTGGGCAGCCTGTTCCAGGGCTTGACAACCCTTTCAGTGAAGAAATTTTTCATAATATCTAACCTAAACCTCCCCTGGCACACATTTACTCTTGTCCTATTGCTCGTTGCTTGGGAAGAGAGACTGATGACCACCGATCTACATTTTCTTTCCAAGTAGTTTTAGAGAGCAATGTCTTCCCTGAGCCTCCTTTTTTCCAGGCTAAACCCCACTTCCCTCATCCACTCCTCATAAGACTTATTCTCTAGACCCTCCACCAGCTTTGTTGCCCTTCTTCGGACATGCTCCAGCACCTTATAGCCCTTCTTGTAGTGAGGGACCCAACACTGAACACAGTATTCAAGATGCAGCCTCATCAGTGACAAGTACAGGGGGACAATCACTTCCTGGTCCTGCTGGCCACACTAACTCAGACGCATGCCAAGATGCCATTGGCCTTCTTGGCCACCTGGGCACACTGTTGGCTCATGTTCATCCAGCTGTCTATCAACATCTCCAGGTTCTTTTCCACCAAGCAGCTTTATAGCCACTCTTCCCCAAGCCTGTAGCATTGCCTGGGGTTGTTGTGACCCAAGTGCAAGACCTGACACTTGGCCTTGTTGAATCTTATGCAGCTTAATGGGCTTTGGCCCATTGATGTAGCCTGTCCAGGTCCCTCTGTAGAGCCTTCTAGCAGATCAAGACTCCTGCCTAATTTGGTGTCATGTGCAAACTTCCTGAGGATGCCCTCGATCCTTCCATTTAGGTCATCGATAAGGATGTTAAGGTGAACTGGTCTCAACACTGAGCCCTGGGGAACATCACCTGTGAGCGGCCACCGACTGGATTGAACTCTTATTCACCACCACCCCTTGTGCTCAGCCAGCCCATTCTTTACATGCATGTGCATGAGAGAGACAGCCCATCTCAACAATATGGCTTATCTGCTCCTTTCATGCAGCATGAAGGGATTGGCTCTGTTCCTTATTTATGATGGGCCGCAAGGGTATGAGTCAGCTGTTAAACAATCAAACTGCAACTAAAATCATTTCAAAGACACGGGAGAGGAACGTGCTTGTTAGCTTGACATGGAGCAGAAATGCTGTACTACACTAACAACCTACCTCCCTGCCATTTATCCACTTCAAATCAAGCAAAACATTTTTGTCAAGTCATTTCCCAAGAAACTGAATCTCTGTTGACCAAGGCAGCAGTGGAGCACGTGTTCAGTGCACTGGGCCATCAGCACAAATTACACAACCTGCACATTTACGTCTCAAGCCCATTAAAAGAGGGATTGTTCGCCTTCATGTGACAGGAGATGTCTAAGGCACCAGGAGTATTTAATGGGGGCTGATGGATCTGCAATCAGGGAAATCATCACTTTATGAAAGCATACAGCGCTCTGTAATGCACAGAAAGGAGGAAGCAGCTCTGCACTATTAAAGATTAATTGTGAAAATTGACTTGTTCAATTACAGAAAGAACGATGCTGCATTATCGCTGCTCTTTCTTTCAGCCTCCAGACCTGTACATTTCTAAAAGGGTTTTTATTACATTACTGTTCCACTCTCTGAACATTTACATAAATTAGGTAAAATATTATGAAACCATGGAGCAGTTTAACATAAACTGGTTTTGTTCTCATTCACAGTAAATATTCTCCAGCCTGCAGAACTTACCAACCTTACAGACACTGACCCTGCCCCAGGTGGAAGGCCAGTGACCTATCTTTTTCCTCTCTCTTCCAGTTTCTACACACTCACTTTATAAATGTTTTCCCCGCCTCCTGTTTGGGAAGAAATAGCAGTACACATCTGGAAGGCTGCGCAGCATACATGCTTTTCCCCAAAATTTTCAATTGTCTTTCCTTAATAGCAAAGTTGCACGGGAAAATGGAAAAAAAACCATGCAATTCACAAATATTTATGGGAAAAAGTGTATCCATGATCTATTGAAATTCCATTGCAAAGGATTTTTTTCCTACCACATTGACCTAACAGAGAAAGAAAAGAAATAAAAGATGCTGGCTTCCAGCTTCTTAGCAGTTTGGCTATTAATCTTTTCTTTCTACTATTCCACCTCTGTAACCCAAACCTGTTGCCTGAATTTTCATTCTGTCCTTTTGCAACATCTCATCTTTTAGAATGCAAGCTTTTAAACCAAGGTTGCCATTTATTACAGGTGACACCCTGCAAACAACCCTCAGGGGAATTAAAAACTCAGCTTTTGCTGACTTTCATAGAAGTTAAATGTCTACAGAAAATGCCACAGACAAAGCTTTTGGTCACCTAGCTCCGTGTTGTCACCCACTGCCTGTTGAGCCAGGCTCAGGATCACATCTTGAAGCAACTGCCACATCATACTAGAATTTATTATGGAGAAGAAGGAAACGAGCCCATATGGGATTAGAAAAACAATGTTTGCCCACTACCTAAATGGTGTACATGAAATGAGATCCAACATGGACCTCAGACCTCTGCACTGACAGGGTGATAATCAGACTCCTGAGAAAGAGAGAGAGATGCCAGAGAGGTTGTGAGATCTCCATTCTTGGAGATATTCAAAACTTGTCCAGGTAATACTCCAGTCAATCTGCTGTATGTTATTCCTGCTATGAGCTGGGGTGGTACCAGAATCCTGCTGATATAAATGTGTCTATACTTGTATGATTCTGTTCTGTGATAGCACTTGACTATCTGCCTTCGTGCTTCCTCCATACCCTCAATTTTGGCTAGAATCAAGAATTACTGACAAAGTCAGGAGCTGGGAATCTTGGAGGAGGTACCAAAGAAAGTAATCCATATGTTACTCTAAATCACTTTGAAGTTCCTTCCCTGGGGTTGAAAAACAAAAAAGTGTTCAGGTGAGTAGGTGAAACTTAAATACAGCTAAAAATGGAAATCCAGTCAAAAGGAAAATACACAGGTTTTAGGAACATTTCACTTACGGCAGAAGTCAGGTTCCCTCCACTGGACCAGGATGTTCTTCCTGGCACAGGCAGCTGCATAGTTAGCAACAGCAGAGCACAGACAATCCTTCCCATTGGAGCAGGAGCAAACATCAAAGCGGCAGTTCTTCACGTGGGGAGAGGGACTGACTTCATGGTGACAGGGTTCAAACGCAGAAGACATCAGAACTGAGCAGGAGTCCTCAGCATATTTGGCTAAAAAGAGAAAAATTATATGCTTGCACTGCATCAATTAGTGCCTTTCAAGAAAGGCTAGAAAAGCCACAGTATTTTCTTTTTCTTTTGTAAAAAACAAGCACACAGAAGACTGAACACACAAAAGAATAAAATAGGATTAAGTAGGCATAGATAGCATCATAGCTCACAGTTCTCGAGCTCCACTAAAAGAATAATGTTTCACTAGTAAAACAAATCAAGGAAAACTAATGCTTTTATATTCAGTTATCACTATTTCTGGTGCTGTACTACCTTTTACAGGGCCTCTGCTCTACTGCTTTTTATATTTGCAAGACCTTCTAGGCTGCACTACACTTACAAATCATCAGTAATCACTTGGATCTACAGACATAAAATTTTCTGTGTTCTTGCTCCTCCCAGAAATCAGAGGTTGCTGCAACACCTGGGAAAACAAATTGCTCTAAGAATTTCTCTCTGTGTTGAACCAGGGCAGCCAAGCAGCATAGAG